GAAATCATAGACTCAACCTTCTTTGTCATTCCAAATTCTGCAACGATGCTCGTCATTCCATTCTCAACTTGTTTATGTAGTTTCATCTTAAAATCAAGAAATACGGTATTGATGTTTCTAAAATCAATGATCAATATGTTTTTCTAAAAGGTTTAGGGCAAGGCTAACAAGTTACAAATTTAAATTACTTTGAAGTTTGAGTCGTTTATATGGTTAAAATTATGCAATTGCAAGTGCTTTAATGTGGCTAATTCTCAACTAGTATATATTATGAGTCGTTTATATAGTTACAAATTAACTTTCTTCGCTTTCAACTAGTTTATATAGTTACAAATTAACACGAATATGCACAAAAAAAAACGAGGGGGTTTAAGGCTTGAACGGAATGAATAAGTTGGTCATACGGATGGTGGAAAGTGATAAACATAACTATTATACATTAGTCTATTTGCTTATTAAACTTAGACTTATTTTGTTTATTCCAACTAAAATCACTGAAAAGTCATTGTCACTTAGGAGTTACATAAAAAAAATAAGCTTCTAATTCGAATAGGTGAAGAGTAGCATACTAATTTATTGGTAGGATATAGAGAAAAGAATTTGCTCAATAATCAAGACCGCGAAGTTGTGTTTTCAAAATATAAAATCATGTCGCGACTCATTCTAGAAACAAAAAAAAGTGTGTCATATTAGTAACGCATTGAAATCATATGTTTCATTCGTACATTTTTTTTTTAAAATTTTTAGCTTTATATTATTGATTTGTCTTAAGGACCACATTTGATTCAAAGTCTGGCTACGCCACTGCATGTAATGGGTTGGAATTTAAAGAGTGTGTAAAAGTCCGATCTGGGAAAGCGCATAAATGACAAAACAAGCGTCCACAAAGGAGTACAAGAAGTGGTAGGCTGACGTTATGCGTCTGAATGATCTGATAAAGCTTATCAACTGGTCGAGGGGCATGCCCATTGGTTGGGGTGGAAATTGGGCGGTTGTAGTTATCTGTCCCATAATTTGTGTCTACCTACACTAACAAATATAGAATTATGTTATCCACAACCCGTACCGCAGTGGATAGTGGTTAACCACTACTCATTGCGGTTTGTGTGATTTGGTTATGGATACCCACACAAATTTTCACTTATTGAATATAGTAATATGGTAATCAAATATTAATGTTGTGTTTCTTTCTCATACAAAAACAAAAACTTACATAAAGTGTTAAATAAACTATAAATCTCATATACAATATGTTAGTGGGTGTAAAATTAAGAAGAGATGGATTCAGAAAGAGATTTGTTACCATACCAACATCATTGCATGTCGTGGGTCCTTCAGCGGCAACAACGGAGAAACACAAAAGTGGTTCGATAAGTGGAAGCGCCGCTTTTAGTGAATCGATTATTCTCCGCTCTAGATAGTTGTACTGATGGGAGTTCAAATATGCAACGTCAAGCAGTTCCGCTCTCTCCTAGCTATTGTGTTGTTCGTAGAGAACTGGATATGAGTTTGGGTATCCGAAAAATCTTTAAAGATTATTCTCCCGTTTTAATAAACCAATTAATTTATCCGACTACTTATATTGGCTTGGTTTTGTTTTATAAATCAAACATATACCACATGAACAATACTTATTTGGTATATGTATCCCTTAAGGACACTGCGTATTGAGTTGGTTTTGTTTCATAAAATAAGAGCGTATTTGATTTTGGTGGCTACTTTAATTTTTAGCCTTTTACTTTTCACATACTACAATATTATCACCTTTTATTAATTAATAAAAATAATTAGTGTGATTATTATGATTACAGTGGGTTAATATTATGGGTAGTGGTGGTATTCTGTTTCTCGGTTAACGGTACAACCAGTAACCGTACCAGTAATCAGTGGTTAATGGTTATACCAGTACCCCACGGTATTAGTAGACGAGAGGCGAAAAATAGCAATCGGTATACCGGAGTGTACCCTGTAATTAAGTAACGATTATTTGGTATACCAGATTATCGAAACTCACACTTGATTACAACGAACAGACAACCCTCACCCATTCCTTCACCTGCCTGCGAGAGAACCCTACTCACCTCTCCGACTTCATCTTCTTTCCAATCGAGCAACTTCTACAGAGCATGGAGAACAGAAGCATATGTTCCAAGACTCAATCCATGCTCTGCCTCTCCAATTCCACAACCATCATCCATGATTCCTCTAGGGATCTCTCATCGAAGAATTTGATGATGCAGAAGAAAACGAACACACAACAAGAGTTTTACGTGTATCCCTGTTCGATGTGAACAGGACTAATCCATGGTGAGCTCGAAAGAAATCACGGATGATCTCTTATTAGGATTACATCTTGACAGCTTGCTTATGACAGATTCGTAGCTAAGTCTTATATAGAGGTAGACTAGGGTTAAAACCCTAACGAGAAGATTTGAGTACGATCAAGTATCTGTACCTACTACAACTCGGACAAGGCCCAACAAGGCCCAATACTAACACGGTTTAACTAACCACAACACTCCCCCTTAAGCGAAGATATGAATGACAAGAATGTCGAATGACACGCTAAAACACAACACCAAACTGCGACCAAGTATAATCGCAGTCCGGGAATGCAGTAAAGTGGCAAGTTCTATTATCAACCCGGGGTCTAGATCTACTGCTTACTCCGTGAGTATCTATTATCTATCCAACTAAGTTAAGTGATTGTTGTTTTAAGCAAAAGCAGAAAGAAAGCAGGAATTGGTACGGTTTTTTCAAGCAAAGAAGAGTCACTCGGGAATGAGTCCCCCTAGCTCCTTAGTTAGGTTTCAATTGTAATTTCCCTGGGTTGATTTACTGTAGACTAGACTGTGGAAGATCCGACAGTAGCTTGGAATCTCTTACGCTGACCAAGCCCTCTCAGTCTAACTACCCGGCAGACGACTAGTCTTCACCGGGATAGAAAGCTGAAGCAATAAGCACATAACTCCACTACTGGAATTGGATTCCAGTACAAAGCAATAAACTGGCTAACTCTCGTATAGCCAATCTCCTACTACCGAACGATGAGGCTCTAACAACCTAATAAGATTCTATCTATCTCAGGTTGCAGCAGAAATCAGGAAAAGCTGATCAGACTTCAATTGACTCAATAAACATGCATCATTCGATTAAAACCAAGCAGTAATATCATCCCAAGTCATTACAATCAAATCCCTAACACATAGAACTAGGGTTCTTCATACCCAAGTGAGAGAAGGGTTCTACTACATAGAGAGAGAGGGGAAAACAGAATACAAAGCAGTCATACTCATATCAATGGGAAGAATCTGCTATGGGATGATGATTTCCACTCCTATGACGATCTCCAAGCTCGATTTGATGAAACCCAGCTCCAAGATAGCTTCTAGGATGTGTTCTTCGTACTTTCTCTCTCTAGGGCTCTGTTTTTGCTCTGAAAATCCGATTCCCTCACTTGCAGCACGAAATTGGGTAAAAACCAGAAATTCCCGACTCACACGGGCAGGCCACACGGCCGTGTGGCATACTCAGTTGCCCGTGTGAGGTCAAAACGCCGCGTTCCGAGTAATTGGGTTTCAGGCTTCCCACACGGCCAGGGGCACACGGCCGCGTAGCTCACCCAGCCTGGCCGTGTGAAGCCTCGCAGAATTCCACACGGCCAAACTGCAACTTCACACGGCCGTGTGGATTTTACTTGTGCCCGTGTGAAGGCTCGCACAATCCCACACGGCCAAATTGGTCACTTGCACGGCCGTATGAGTTGTGAGTGTGCCCGTGTGGCTTCCTTTGTGACTTGCCTCGCGCCCGATCTTCGTCTAATCGACCCCGAACTCGCTCCTAAACCTTCATTCACTTGCTAGGACCTGAAATATCACAAACAAACACAACCTAGCGTGAAATCGGCCTAAAACACGAGAATTACCATCTCAAACGGCTCCAGAATAGGGGTAAAAACATGTGCAATTTACGGCTTATCAAACTCCCCCACACTTAACTGTTTGCTTGTCCCCAAGAAAACCAAGTCAGACACAAGGTAAGCTTACAGAATTCAACCATACCAACATTGGGGACAAATCATATAGGCACAGAACAGGTGAATCATACTGGTTTTCAAACATCAACACCTGGACAACCTCAACAGCAACCTGGACAACCACCACAGAAGACATTCGAGCTCAGCAAAATCGAGTAAAGGAGGAGTCCCCCTACTGTTCATCAACCAACCTAGACTTGGCTCAATCACTCACTCAAGACAGTCAACTCATGCATAAAACTCAAGACATCAGAATCAAGACCGAGCCATCTAGGTCCTCACTGGGTAAAGAGTGTAAAGAACAAGGAAATGAATCGCTCACTCTCGACTAGTGGGGTCAGGACAATTTGATGCGAAAAATGCGCATACTAATTCTCTCAATTCCTAACATCTCTTCACCATGATGACAGCCTCTAAAGGTTAGTGTTCACATAAATGGTTGTCATCACTAACTAATCAGGAGGTCTTAGACACAGGTTCAAATGACTGGCTAGGGTCTTGGACATGGGGAAAAGGCCTTTTAGGTGGTGGAAGTATTCATAGCACAAGGTTCCAAATTCCAAACCCAACAAACTCACAGTCAATCAAACTAGTACTTTTTTTCTGCTATTCTGCATTACTCAAATTCAGAGCACAAGAGCGAAGAAGGTCACATAAATACCAGTATTTCTAAGCCAGACTGCTAAGAAACACTACTTAATTGTCGAAAACATATTGATTTTGCGTGCTTAATGTGATTTTTTCATCATATGTTTGAGACCTATAATACTTGTTTGAGGTCCAACTAAGCCTGGAATGGTTATAAAACCATTACCATCAAGTGCCAAATGTTTTATATATTTCAGGTAAATGAAACGAGAAATTTGCATTGGTGGATAGAATAATTCAAGTGGACTGGATGTACATTGGACCGGAACTTACTGAGGAGTTGAACCGGGATTGGGCTTGGGCCGAACGATTTGGACATGGGTGGAATTCTTTATGGGGGCGGAGCAAAAGACACAGAATCTTGGGGACCGAAATCAGAGGCGGTGAAATTAATCAAGGGAACTAAATTAGCTGGAGACGGAAGGGCCATTTTATTTTGGGCCAGGGAATTAATCCAAGTGAATTTTGTAGGGGTGGGCAACGGGACAGGACGGGATACCCGTTCCGTTTTAAACGGGTACCCAGTCCCATTTGGAGGCCAAAGTCCTTCCCATGTCCCAAACCCATATGGGAAACGGGTACCCATTACCCGTACGGGACGGATAACGGGTACCCATAATACCCATAAATACCCAAAGTTTCATTCCCTTGACTGGCTTCATTCCCTTGATTAGCCATGGAAACTATAAACCAAATCAACATAAACCAAATAGACATATGCTGGAAATTAGAAACATAATTAGTAATTAGCAGAACAAACCTAACTAGTAAACGGGTACCACATTTCTGAATTAGTTGAATTGGGTTGGGGTGTTGGGCTGTGGGCTATTTCTGGTAAATGGGTATAACGGGTACCCACATTACCCAAACGGGTATTTGCAGGTAACCCGCGGGTACCCATATTAGGAATGTACAATCCCAAGTCCCATCCGTTTATAATAATACGGGTAATATGGGTACCCGTAACCCTTAAAAAACGGGACGGGTACGGGTATACCCAAATACCCGTTTCCCGTTGCCCACCCCTAGAATTTTGGGTGGGAACAGAATTCTATTGAAGGAAAAGAAAGGAAGTGGGGCGGACAGAATTATAGAGAGGAGGAGCGGAATTATTATAGAAGGGAAGAAAAAGCAGAAGCGGACGAGCTCTCGGGGGGGAATTTTCTTGGAAGAAAAAAAGCAATTCTTTTGGAGAAAGTAGCGCGCGACAGGCAATTGGAGCGGAACGGGTTTTTTGGGCGGAGAATTCTTTTTTGACAGGGAGCAGAGGGCGTAGCGCAGAGAGAATTCGAGCGGCGATTGGCAATCGATAATCGACGTCTTCAGAGACGGTTTTAGCTGAATTCAACGAGAGTGAGTAGTTGGTTGGATTTTCTAAACCGAACTAGTTGTATATTGTTGATTTAGAACATGATGAACAAAATCCTATTGTTTTATCTTAATTTCGTCATGAACTAAACCCCGATTTCTGGGGGAGACACCATAGGATGTAGCTATTTCTTGATTTGATGGATTGATTTATGATTCTTTTCTTCCAGTCTCTATTGCATGGAATTGCTAAATGCTTTGTGTTGACTGGCCACCAATACAATGATTTGTAGTTGATTAGGTTATTAGCGACAGTGAAACCCTATTAACCGAACCTGTTCCATGTGACATAGTAACTTATCGAAGCGACAGTGGATTAAATAAGGTGCTATGCGGTCTTAAATAGGATATCGATCTTCAGACTATATAGTTAATTCATTGAGCTACGACAGTAGGATTTGAATTGATTATTTAGTACGTAGTAATTCCCGGCAGGGATAGCTAGCACATTCGTGATATCCTGGCTGTAGAGGTATGGATTAAATTGATTGGAATATGTGAATTAATCTGGATAGGATAGGTAGTGAATCCCGGTGTTTCTCCCAGAGCTTTCTCCCATTGAATTTCCCTCGACAAGTTTACTTTGCTTAATTTGTTTATTTTGCTTATAGATAATTAGTCTCGTTAAACCATTTTCACCTATAGTTTGCTCTATAAATTGATAGAATATAAGGTTGTACCAGTCCCTGAGAAACGATACCCGGACTTTCCGGTTTACTACGAGATAGGAAATTGGCATATACGCTTTTGCCCTATCAAAAAGAAAAGAAACAAAACACATGACAAACTCAGTTCAAGCTCCTCAAACACATGGAGTAGACAGAAAAAGTCTAAAACAAAAACACACAATGAGGGGCGACAAGTACAGCCTACTCGTCGCCAAGGTTGTCCAAATCGATGTCATTCATGAATGCATCATCATCATCAGCTGGTGGAGGTGGAAGTGGAGAGTCCTCCCAGGGAGTCCTCCAGACTGGCTGCTCGCCCAGTAGCAGCTGGAGCAGATGCCCCTGGACCTCCTGCATGCGCCTAGCTCGGGCCTGCTCCCTCTCGATGCGCGCCAAGGTCACCCCCTGCTGGGTCTCCATCCTATCCAGACGCTCATCATACGCAGCCATCCGGGTCTGGTACTCGGCATGGTGAGCCGAACACTGCTGCTAAAACTGGAGTTGATAGTCATAGAGCTGCTGATTCTGGAGACGCAGCTGCTCGAACTGCTGAGCGAAGTAGTCGTCGGAGCCTCGCCAGAGTCTCGCCGGGAACCGCCTCCGGCGACTCAAAATCAAGCCAAATCACATCAAAATCGAGGGATAGGCCGATAATGGGGAGGAAAGGGTGGGTGTGGTGTTGGATTTGTGAAAAACCGACCAAAAATGGCCGAAAATCGACAAAGATGGCGAAAAGGCGCGGTTTTCCGGCGAGGGGGAGAGGTTTCTGGCGAGAGAATTTGGATTTTCTGACCACTCGGCCGTGTCGGCCGAATTTATAGGCCGTGGCTCGGCCACACGGCCAGGCTCACACGGCCGTGTGAGGTACACATTTGCCTGTGTCGGCCGACATGGGCTAGCCGAGGATTTTCCACTCGGCCGTGCGATAAGCACATTTGGCCGTGTGACTTTTGACGAGAGTTCACACGGCCAAGGGGGATTTCCACACGGCCGGGTCACTATCACAACTGGCCGTGTGGAATTTCACGAGAGCTCACACGGCCAAAACTCAAATCCACACAGCCGTGTGACTTTCAGGGCTGGCCGTGTGGGCTGCCAGAACTCCGAAATTGACCTGTTTTCACTCCAGAACGACATACAACTCGTGAACAACCCCTCAAGACTCAAAAAACACAAAAAAAATCAAAAGGAAAAAGGTAAGAAAATGCAAACCTAGGTGGGGTTGCCTCACCACAAGCGCTTCTTTACCGTCTTTTAGCTGGACGCCAGTCGGTGGATGCTCAATGAGGTGAAGGAGCAGGTGCCTTCAAGAGCGGATCCATCTCGCTCTTGAAGTACAGCATCAAATGGTGGCCATGCACACGACGAATGTGGCCACCAGCATTTGCCAACTCAACTTGGCCATCCGGCAGGATGCAAGCGAGTGAATACTCGGATGGCCAAGGTGGGGGCGGGACCAGCTCGTAGTGGTCTCCGGCTTTCTTTCGAACAGGCTTAGCTGCCTGCAGTTTCGGCCGCCACTCCTCCTTGATCTGTTCTTTCGGTGACGGAGTGGACGGGAGTGGCGGCGAAGGTATGGGAGGCGGATCCTGCAAAATGGGAGAAAGAGAAGGATACACGACAGACTCGTGCTCCCGGTGAGAAACAACATGCAAAGGCGAAGAAGCAGGGAGTGTATTAGTAAATGAAAATGTTATTCGCTCCTCGCCATCCCTCAAAACTAAGGTCCCATCATGCACATCTATGAGAGCCTTGGCGGTGGCCAGGAAAGGCCTTCCCAGTATAAGGGGCACTTCTATGTCCTCATTGATGTCAAAGACAACAAAATCCACAGGATAATTGAATTTGTCAACCTTAACCAGAAGGTCTTCCACTATGCCCCTAGGATGCACTACAGATGGGTCAGCTAATTGAAGGCTCATCCTAGTAGCACGGGGTTCACCTAAGCCTAGTTTCTTGAACAGTTTATACGACATAACATTGATACTAGCACTTAAATCCGCCAAGGACCTCTCTACATGCAAATTATCTATAGAGCACGGGATAGTAAAACTACCTGGGTCCTTCTGCTTCTGCGGAAGCTTGTTCTGCAGAATGGCCGAGCACTCCTCGCTGAGCTCCACAGTGGCCAGCTAGCTCAGCTTCTGCTTCTTTGAGAGAAGATCCTTCAGGAACTTCGCATACTTAGGCATTTGAGATAGTGCCTCCAGGAAAGGTACTTGGTCATTCAGCTTCCTAAGCATGGCCATGAAGTTCCCGAACTCTGCCTCCAGCCTGTCTTTGTGCAACCGAGTAGGGAAGGGGAGCTGAGGGATATACTCCTTCACTACTGGTTGCGGGTTAGGCGCAGGCACCTCAACCTCCTTCTTTGCTTCTTCTTCAGTCACTGGAGATGCCGAGGCAGGGGCCTCCCTCTCTTGTGCCCGAATAGGTGGATCAGCAGTCATCTTTCCACTCCTGGTTGTGATAACATTGCAGTGCTCATTCGGGTTTTGCGGATGAGGGATGGTCTGACCGGGTAGAGTACCAGGAGCCCTTTGTGCCACTACTTGAGCCACACTCCCCAGCTGGGTTTGGATATCCTGCAAGACAGCCTGTGTGTTCCTCTGGCCAGCTTCAAGAGCCAGGAATTTACCCGAGGCCTTTTCCATGAACTGCTCGATAGTGTTGAATTTCTGAGTACTAGAACTGGCGAGAGAGCCCACCAAGTCTCGTAGTTCAGCCATCGGATCATTTTGCACTAGGGTGGCAGGGGCTGCACTTGGCTGCTGGAAAGGTCGCGGCTGTGATTGAGCAGCCTGCCCCTGCATGGGCTGGTAGAGAGACTGCTGCTGCTAGAATTGCCCTTGTCTGGGATGATATGGTGGCCTCTGAAAGCCCGACGGTCCCTGGGGGACTGGTGGTCTGGAATTTGCCCCACCCAGTAGAAGTTGGGATGCTGGCGCCACCCCTCGTTGTAAGTGTTGCTGTAGGGGTCGTTACGCCTAACATTATTGATGAAGTTCACCTGCTCCTGGGGTGTGGTCGATTCCTTCATCGCCTGGCAGTCTTCCACCGTGTGATGGGTGCTCTCGCAACACTGGTAGAGCATCGCCTGCTGCTGTCCGCTCCCTGGAATCATCCAGGAACGATCTATAGCTGAAACCAGCTTCGACACCACCTGCACCAAATCAGAGGATTGGTTTCCCACAGAATTTACACCTCGGCTTGGTGCTCTCCTCGACCTCCTAGAAGTGCCCCAATCATACCCGTTCTCTGCCATCTCCTCAAAGAGTTGATTCAGCTGTGGCGGTGTTTTGGTCAGCATGTTCCCGCCACAAACTGAGTCAATCAGTTGCTTGTCTTCTGGGAAGAGGGCGTGATAGAAGGTTCCCACCTTGAAAGCATCATTGAAACCATGATTGGGACACCTTAGGAAGAGACTGTTGTATCTCTCCCAAGCATCCCTGATGGTCTCATCCTCGTCCTGAGCAAAATGGGTAATTTGCTTCTGCAGGTCCGCCGTCTTGGATGGAGGATGGTAGCGGGTGAGGAACTTGTCCGCCAGGTTGGCGAACGTGGTGATGGAGCCTGAAGGTCAAGTGTCTAGCCACTCCTTGGCCTGCCCCTCCAGGGTGAATGGGAAGTACCTCAACTGGATGGCATCTGCTGGGACCCCATTGATCTTGATTCCATCGATGAGCTCGTGGAATCGCCTGAGATGTGAACGAGGGCACTCCCCCTCTTTGCCTCGGAACACCACTGAACCGCGCAGCATGGTGATTACTGAGGTGCTCACCTCAAAATTATTGGCTGGGACATGAGGGTGTTGAATAGGTGACCTCATGTCTGCAGCCCTGGCGGTTCAGTAATGTCCCATGGTCTGCTCCTCGGGAAGGACCACATCATGGTCCTGTGGATCCCCCATCTCTTCTTCTTCACCGATCTGCAGCTGTGCTAGCTCCTCCTCCGCAGCCAGTCGCGCCTTTAGAGCCCGCTTGAAGTTTCTGCAGGTTCGTTCAAGCTCCTGGACTAGTGGTAGTAGATCTCCTGCTTGAAGTTTGTGCACACAATCAGCAGAAGCAACCCGTGAAGGCGCACAGGTGGAAGAGATAAAATGCAGTAAATAAAAAGCTATAGTAATAGATTTGCACGTTTCCCCGATAACCTAGAGGTCCCCGGCAACGGCGCCAAAAACTTAACACGCTAAAACACAACACCAAACTGCGACCAAGTATAATCGCAGTCCAGGAATGCAGTAAAGTGGCAAGTTCTATTATCAACCCGGGGTCTAGATCTACTGCTTACTCCGTGAGTATCTATTATCTAGCCAACTAAGTTAAGTGATTGTTATTTTAAGCAAAAGCAGAAAGAAAGCAGGAATTGGTACGGTTTTCTCAAGCAAAGAAGAGTCACTCGGGAATGAGTCCCCCTAGCTCCTTAGTTAGATTTCCATTGTAATTTCCCTGGGTTGATTTACTGTTGATTAGACTGCGGAAGATCCGACAGTAGCTTGGAATCTCTTAAGCTGACCAAGCCCTCTCAGTCTAACTACCCGGCAGACGACTAGTCTTCACCGGGATAGAAAGCTGAAGCAATAAGCACAAGACTCCACTACTGGAATTGGATTCCAGTACAAAGCAGTAAACTGGCTAACTCTCGTATAGCCAATCTCCTACTACCGAATGATGAGGCTCTAACAACCTAATAAGATTCTATCTATCTCAGGTTGCAGCAGAAATCAGGAAAAGCTGATCAGACTTCAATTGACTCAATAAACATGCATCATTCGATTAAAACCAAGCAGTAATATCATCCCAAGTCATTATAATCAAATCCCTAACACATAGAACTAAGGTTCTTCATACCCAAGTGAGAGAAGGGTTCTACTCCATAGAGAGAGAGGGGAAAACATAATACAAAGCAGTCATACTCATATCAATGGGAAGAATCTGCTCTAGGATGATGATTTCCACTCCTATGACGATCTCCAAGCTTGATTTGATGAAACCCAGCTCCAAGATAGCTTCTAGGATGTGTTCTTCGTACTTTCTCTCTCTAGGGCTCTGTTTTTGCTCTGAAAATCAGATTCCCTCACTTGCAGCCCGAAATTGGGTAAAAACCAGAAATTCCCGACTCACACAGGCAGGCCACACGGCCGTGTGGCATACCCAGTTGCCCGTGTGAGGTCAAAACGCCGCGTTCCGAGTAATTGGGTTTTAGGCTTCCCACACGACCAGGGGCACACGGCCTTGTAGCTCACCCATCCTGGCCGTGTGAAGCCTCGTAGAATTCCACACGGCCAAACTGCAACTTCACACGGCCGTGTGGATTTTACTTGTGCCCGTGTGAAGGCTCGCACAATCCCACACGGCCAAATTGGTCACTTGCACGGCCGTGTGAGTTGTGAGTGTGCCCGTGTGGCTTCCTTTGTGACTTGCCTCGCGCCCGATCTTCGTCCAATCAACCCCGAACTCGCTCCTAAACCTTCATGCATTTGCTAGGACCTGAAATATCACAAACAAACACAACCTAGCGTGAAATCGGCCTAAAACACGAGAATTACCATCTCAAACGGCTCCAGAATAGGGGTAAAAACATGTGGAATTTACGGCTTATCGTCGAACTTGAAGAAGGAAATGTGAAGAACAAGCGTGGTGGCTTGAACAACAAAACTCGAGATGAATAACATCTCGGACAAGGTTGATTGGAGACGACTGACTCTCTCTGAACAACCTGATGATGGAGACGGTTGACTGCGTCTCTTGAACTTGAACACACTTGGTACATCGCGGTGGACGTGATGACTGAGTTAGTCGAGCGAATTATGTTGACCTCCTATTCTCCCCCTCAAGCCGAAGCATGAACATCGTGAATGCCCGACTTGAAAATTAATGAATGTTTGATATGTGCCCATTAATGAACCGGAAGAGGGAACGACCATTTCTTAGGTCGTGAATGCCAGCTGAACGATGAAGGGACGATTACTTCTTTGATCGTTCTGCCTTTTGAACGAAGGAGACGATCATTTTATGGATCGTGAATGCCTCGACTAATGGCTTGAAAATTTTGTTGACAGAAGTTATTCTTTCTCCCCCAACACTAGCTATTTGAAGAGATGACCACTACCGGTCATGATTGCCTTCAATGCCATTAATTTAATCGATGTTGGTGATGAAAAAAACTTCTTCTCAACCCTTGACGAAGTGGATGATAACTTTGAATTACCACCCATCTTCACAAAGTAGCCGTGCCGTGACCTCCCACTTAGCTGTCTCCAAACTTGAATTAATTCCAACCGATGGCACAAAATGAAAGGGAAGTTTTCTTCTCCATGGGCCCAGCATATGGGCCTAGCTTGGGTCTGAAGTGGTTCATTTATTGGGCAAGGGTTTGAAACCCTTCTTCTAGCTTTGGAATTCCCTTGGCTGAGAGACTATCACCGCCGCCTACCTCTTGTCTTTTATTTATTGGATGGTAGACTTGCGACGGCAGCTCCTAGCTCCTTAGCGACGATGACGCAGGTGGTCGATGATGAGACAAGGGTGGCAGACGATTAGGACGCCTACGAGGTTAACGATGAAGACGGTTGGTGGCTTGGAGCTGCATACGATGGCGTGAGCAGAGGCTGGCTAGGGACATCGATGTCGCCGAAGCTTCTGTCGGAGAAGATGATGACGACGGCCGCGAGAGGATCTGTTGATTTGGAGACTGTGACACGATTGCGCCCGATATCCAGATCCATATCGACAACCGAAGACAGTAGAACTGGGAGACGGAGGCAGAGACGGTACCTCCGTATGAGCCGACAATGACGACGATGCCTTTGAATATTTGGAGATGATGACTTCGCCTCCCCGAGCATACCACTGGTCGTGATTGAACAAAGATGACGGTGGAAAGGACTTTGCTACCGAACTGCAAAAGTGGAGACATGAGCGGGTTGATGCGCTTGAGAAGGTGATGGATGGCTCGTTTGGATGGTGACTGGACGAGTTTGGAGTCAGAAGTCCTTTTCTCTGCTTCAGTTTTGTCGAAGAAGGTGGAGATTGCGCCAATGGAAGGGATGGCGACGACACTGAAAACCTGGACAAAATTGACCTTGAACCGATGACGTGGATGCTGCCACGGAGAGACAACGAATCGGATGCTGACTGTAGATCTGAAAACCCTAAACAAGGATCGAGTTATTGGGACCAACTGGTTTATGACATGGTATCAGAGTTGGTTTGTCCTTGAGGTCTGACTTGTCCCGAATACCACAATTAAATCACGCCTAAGGTCCAAGTATAAACCTTAGTCGGGTGTAGTACAGGGCAAGTATGTTTAAATATCGACTCGGGTCGGTCCGTGTACCCCTACTTTAGTCATTTTAATCATTATCTAGTGACCCAGTTTTTGTTGAAAAGTTTGCTAATTAAAGTAAAGCAAGGTAAAAGTAAATGGTTTGAAAGCTCTTTTGTGAGAAGGATCACTCTGGTGTTGCTTCCCCCTAACTACTACCATGGTACGTTAATTGAAACGATTACTATGGGCAAGGTGATCTCGAACCGCTAGTTGACGCAAATATGATCGTAGACCACACTCTCGATTGCTAAACCGAGGGATACATTGTAGGCTGTCACTCGGCCCTCTCGGTTTAGGCAATCGATGGTTGACTTACTCCCTCACTCAACCCAAAGGTTGGTCGGCTTAATCGCGCTTAACCAAATTGCTTAATCCAACATCGAGGTTTGCCCTAAATTAACCTAGATAGGTGACTTAAAAAGCCCTAGGAATACCAACTCAATTGAGCCTCCCTTGAAGGGGGTTTCCCTCTCTAGTCTAGGTTAAATTGGCCAATTAGATTGCTAAGCACAAACATGCACAATCAACATGAATAATACCTCAATCATAGATTGAAACAACACTCATAAACAATCATTCAATTCACATAACAAAAACTACATGGTAGATAGTTAGGGTTTCACAACACCCAAGTGAAAAAGAAATCTACTCCATGCTAGAAATGGGATAAACACAAGGGGAAGAGGTAAAAACCATCATGGAGAGGCTTCCAATCTTCTTTGCACTTGTGCTAAACTTCTCTTGGGGAGAATCTTCCCAAATACACTCTTGGAGCAAAACCATAGCCTCCTTCTCCTTTGGTTCGTCTTTCTCTCTCTAAAATCTGAAGAAGAAGAAGACTTTCTCCCTCCTTTGGGCTCTCTCACTCTCTTCCTTTCATCTATTCTTTCAAACAAGGATCATGGTCAGTTCACGGCCTCATTTCACAGTCGTGAACTCTGAAACGCGTCCGTGAACTCAAGAGGGGAGTCGAAACCCATCGCTTAGCTTGCACGTGTTCACGGGCAACAGCTGTAGTTCACGGTCTTAGTGACCGTGAACTCAATTAACGTCAGTAACTTGAGATTTGGCACTGGATGCCTTGATGTTCACGGGCAACAGCTCTTCTTCATTATCTCAGCAGACCGTGAACTTCCGAGGAAAGCCGTGAACTGTGGTTTTTCACCTCTTCTCCCGGTTTTTGCTCCTCTCGTCCAACTTGCGACTCCGGGGCTGGTTTCACCTATTAGTTCCTGAAACATGCTAAAACACAAGAAACCTCGCGTAAAATCACCCTTTTAGGAGTACAATTGCCACAAATGCCTATGGAAAACGGCGGTAAAATATGTACAATTAGGCCCGAACCAAGGTCACGTGTTCAAGTCCTCATGACCCCCAATATTAACCGTTGTCTTTCAAGCACATGGTATGGCGGGCCTGTGCAAACTTCAAGCTCATGAGCCGGATTTAGTTTGAGGGGGTGTGTAAAGAAGTGGTTAAGTACCATACACGGGTCGGTATAAGAGCCAACATAACCTTCTCCCAACAACTCGAGATATTGGGACCAACTGGTTTATGACACTCATCTCATATTCCTCTGATTTTGTGGTCATCGAAGAAGGAAAGGATGACAACGGAGTAGATGATGGAGCACCAATTCCCTCCCCCTAGCCCTCACTCTCTCATAAGACGCACCCCTTCCAATCATCTCGTTGGCCATAGAAAATCCCTAATCTCAACTTCTCATATTTATCAATTAGTTGACGAAACCCTTCCTCTTAACCTAGAATCGCCACCGTCGAGAGCAAGACCCAAATGCATTCACTTGAAGCATGATTCGTTGTATTTGTGGAAGCAGCGGCCAATGCGGCAAAATGAGAATGGCTACGCAGCTGCTACTTGAAAGAGAGACGATCCTTCCCGTGCCTGCCTCACTCGTCTTCTCTCCTCTTCATTCCTCCCAATCAGCAACCTAACCCTAAAGACCGATGGCAGAGACGCCACTCACCAGCATCAGTCATCCACTCACCAGAGAAAGGCATCGCCGCCGGCCGCTAGTCGAAACAATTCAAATTCATAAGAGCACTACAAGAAAATATGGTTTTAGAGGGAGAGATTATTTGACTCGGATTGACATTTATTTGCATCTGTATATCTATGGGGGCAATTACATTATTTGCATTGGACGCCTCCATCTCTAATCCTCTTTAGAAGCAAATATAGATGCAAATAGCATCTGCTACAAATGAAAGAATTGGAAGCAAATATATTCGATGGTAAATCCCCTTTTAAAAGCATGTTTTTCTACGTTGTCAAATACTTTGAGAGAGATACATTTGATTGTAATTGTAGTAAATGAGTCAATTATATTTACATTAAAAACCCTTTATAGAAACATAAATATTTGCCAATTGCCACTAATGAATTTATTTTGAGACAAAAAATTTATCTCTATTTTTAACTTTCAGATGCAAATAACTTAGTGTGTTATTACACTTTAGGGGCACATATTATTGCCTCTAATAACTCCATGTATCATATTCAAATTTAATTGTTTATATTTTTTACGTTAGGTTGTGGTTTTTTTTTTGACAAAAGATAATCAAATATTGATCACAAAAGCGAGTTACATCCTGGAATTCAGCCAGGCCTGATAATCAAAGCCCCTATTCATAGTCGGACACAAAGACAGGGCCTTTCTAGTCACCAAGTGGGCTACCCTATTGTTATCACGACCTACAAATCGAATCCTACAATCAGACTGAGCGACAAAATAATGAACAACTTCTTCAAGAACTGCACCCATCCGATTATCCCTTGCGTCCGCCCGGTTGATTTTATCAATGACTACTTTGGCGTTGCCTGCAAAAACAATGTTCGTAAGCCCCAGATTCATACACCAAAGCATTGCCTCACGAAGCACTAACAATTCCACAACCATAGGGTCATCAATCACAGGGAACTGAACCCCCTTAGCCCGAATTACTTCATTTGACGAATTGAGGAGCACCATCCCCCCTGCCGAATGAGACCCGGCCCTTGTAGCACCATCCCACATACAAACCAGACCATCAGGACCTGCCATGCCAGACTGGCTCAAGGGCCGACTCGGGATCTGGGGCTTGCTACTGGCCGGCAGGTTTATCCATTCATCACATTGTTGGGTATACTGCCTCATCAAGTCAGGGAAACTGAACTGTTTACCCTCAAACACAACCCAATTCCGCGAGCGCCAGATTCTCCAGAGGACTGCAACCACTGCCATGAGTAGCCTAGGCTGATTAAGCAAAGCCAACAATCTCTTCAGGAAGAGGGGGAAAGTATCCCGAGGCAACCCCTCCCCTAAATATTCTAACCCTGAGTAATCCCAAAGGGCACGAGCCACTGGACAATAGAGGAACAAGTGCTCCAAAGTTTCCGAATCGGCCCAGCAAACCGGGCATCGGGGGGAAATCGGGACCTTTCTTTCAATAAGTGCCTCGGTAGTGGGAAGTGCTCGATTCAGGATTTGCCAAATGAAAACTTTAAGCTTCGGCGGAATATCCATGTTCCAAAGGCGAATCCAGCTGGGCTTATCCATCCAGCTAACATTAGACGACCACCCCCCTCTCCTCCTATCCAACGTGACCGCCAAATGGTAGGCCGACTTCACCGAAAATACCCCATCCACAGTATCATACCAGATCAACCTATCCTCCACATCATGACGCGGCAGAGGAATTGCTTTAATGGCTCGGCAGGTAGGGGGTCAAACAACTGCCAAAGTTTAGAGTCACACCAGCGCCCCTCCCCTGACATATAACCTCAGCCACCAGAGGATCACCCCCAGCCGGCAAGATTTGCGGATTATATGTAGGGGGTCAAGCTGGTACTTGGGTATCCAGGTTGATCGGAGCATAGACGCAGACCTCCCGTTCCCAATCTGCCACCGCAATCCCATTTCCAGAAGCTTCCTTCCATATAGGATGCTCTGCCAACCCCACGAAGGGCGCGAGCGACCCGTAGCTTGAATGAAAGAACTATTAGGAAAGTATTTAGCTTTATAAACCTGGGCCAGTAGGGATTGAGGCTCCATCAGGATCCGCCACCCAATCTTAGCCAAAAGGGCTTGATTAAAGTGCTCAAACCGGCGGAACCCCATCCCCCCCTCATGCTTACTCCGACACATACTACGCCAAGATATCCACCGCACACGAGAATGATCCGCATCAGCCCCCCACCAGAACCGGGCTACATGTCTATCCAAAAGCCGACAGAGAGACAGAGGCAGCTTGAAGCAGGACATCACATGTAACGGCAGGGCCAGGGCAACTGATTTGATTAGAGTTTCCTTAGCTGCCCAAGATAGTGTCCTCTGCTTCCACCCCTGCAATCGTGCAAGCAATTTCTCTTCCAGATATCGGAAAGTAGCCATTTTCGACCTGGCAATCAGAGTCGGTAATCCCAAATACTTGTCATGCACCCCCACCGCACCCACCCCCAAAATAGAAGCCAGAAACTCCTGATCCGGCAAAGCAACGTTCTTGCTAAAACAGACCGCTGACTTAGCCAGATTTACCTTCTGCCCACTGAGTTCCTCATACTCATTTAAGACAACAATCAAGTTCTCACACTCCTGGAGATTACCTCGCAAGAAGAGATAAGAATCATCGGCAAAGAAGAGATGAGATATCCTGGGGGCACGGGGAGCCACTTTAACCCCCCTCAAGCCTCTTCTCCGAAATAGCCTTACGAAGGAGAGCCGCAAACCCCTCTGTGCAAAGCACAAACAAAAGAGGGGAGAGTGGATCACCTTGTCGGAGCCCTCGAGAAGGGGTGAAATAACCCGACGGTGTACCATTCATGAGCACAGAAAAGGACGAGGAACTCAAACATTCCTGAACCCACCCTCTCCAGACAGAGTTAAAACCCATCTTTTCCAAAACTGCAAGAAGAAAGGACCATTCGACTCTATCATAGGCCTTTTCCATGTCAACCTTTAGAGCCATGTATCCTTTCTTCCCTTTGTTTTTTATTTTAAGATAGTGCATTAACTCGTGGCCCAGAAGGATATTCTCGATTATCTGGCGATCCCTGATGAACGCATTTTGACCATCTGAGATTAAAAGGGGAAGGAGATCCGCAAGCCTTTCTGCCATGATTTTAGTAATTATCTTATACACGAACGGGCATAGACTAATGGGCCGTAATTGCCTCATATTTTCCACCGTTTCAACCTTCGGAATCAAGGTTAACCAAGTATGGTTAAAGCTCTTGAGCAGTCTACTGGTCCTAAAGAAGGAGCAAACCGCTTCAATGACTGACTCCCCAACAATGTCCCAGAACGCTTTGAAAAATTTCCCCGTAAACCCATCGGACCCCGGAGCCTGTTTTGATCCCATAGAGAAAACAGTTTTCCGGACCTCAGCGGGGCTGACTTCAGCTGTCAAACTAGCGTTCATGTCTTGAGTGACCCTCCTATCAATGGGGAGTACTGCCACTCTCTCCGTCATATTAGGAACTTGGGACTCCGAGGTAAACAGATTTAAGTAGAAATCCGTAGCAATAGCAGCCTTCCCATGTTCCTCAGTAACCCATTCCCCATTATCATTCCTAAGCCCCGCAACAAAATTACGTTTACGGCGGGTACGCGTTACCGTGTGAAAGTAGGCACTATTTTTATCTCCTTTTTTTAACCACTGGACCCTGGATTTCTGCTGCCAATAGATTTCCTCCGCCTCCCACTGACGAGCAAGCTCGACTTCCAAGGTCCTAACCATATCCCAATCAATAGGGTGCATGCTTTTAGAGATATATTTTTTGCCTCTATGATATATATAGAGACAAATAACTAGGCTTCCATTGAATGTTTTAACGGTAAAATATTTATATTACGAAAATAATTTATAATATAGAAAGAATTAAAAAATTGAAATTTTATTATTATTTTTAATTATAACCATATGCATAAAATTCATATGAAAATTACATAGAGAGAATTACAATCCATAGACCTATGGACCCACTGCTTCTCTACCTCTACTCTCTAACACCAAGCTTCAGTCTCCTCATTCTTTAACTGTCTCTCCTACTCAAGTGCATCATTGTGTTGCTCGTTCAGGGTCTAGTATGCAAGTAAGCTCTCCTCCTGTCTCTCCACGACTTCTCTTGAAGATGGTATCTCAGTTTCATAGCCTCCATACTATTGTGTTGGTGTTGGGTGGCCCGCTTTGTAGTCGTGATGCTTATGTATGGTCTCTAAGTGCATTGTTTATCTCCCAACCTCCATCCACGCTGATTAGCATGGAAAATCATTTCTAGCGAGGTCCAATCCCATGATCATCATCCTCTATACTCTAAAGATGAATGTCGGATGTCTGTGAATCGGTCCATGCCTTGCTAGAGCATCTCAAATATCAAAATCGTACTCCTCTTGATGATTATCAATGTGTCGGGCTATAACGAGAATATAGTCCCCTCGTAGAAGTCCCCTTACAAAAGTAACAGTGGTGTACCTTTGAAGGTTATCAAACACCAACCATGTTGGATGTAGCTACCAGTTGTGAAGAAGAGCATAATATAGAATCATGTTACTTATGGTCACCTTGCCTACTTCTCTTATTTGCCTCGTGTGAAACTCGTTCGGCCGAAGTAGTGCAAGAACCTCGGAAATGGATGGCGGATGGAGGTTAGTATCGAATGACCAACCAAAAATTGAGTCACTTGATTCCTTGTGATGGTTTTTCCGTAACTCTTGGAAGATCGTTGCTTGCTCTGAAGTAGCTGATAGTAGCATTCAGCTACTTTTCAAAATGAATTGAGGCGGAACCTTTTGAATCAAGCATGGAACCTCAATAGGAGAAAAAGATAAGTGGTTCAAGGAATTACTGAGCTTCTTATGGGCGCACAAGACCACTTACAAGGTAGCAATAGGAGAAACCTCATTTCACTTTCTTATGGAAGTGAAGCAGTAATCCTAATGGAGTTATGCATCTCGACCTTTCGAGCGGTGATCGATTCATTTTGTGCAAGTCATTGTCAGTAGTTTACACGTATCAATAACTACCCCATTCTAGGCCAAGTTTAACCTAAAATGGTATTTTCATATAGTGGCAATCAAGGTCGTATTCACTCGGGTTCCGATACCCTAGCCTACTTCCCACATTTTTTTTATCTAGCCGATCGGTTTAAGGGGTTGTGTTGGAGGATTCAAGCGAAATAACTAGTAGAGAGAATAAACAAGGATAAAAGTAGGTACATCGGGGAACTAACCCTCACCCTAACCTTGGTCTATCATGCAAATTACTAAACATGTTGGGTTAAGAGAATGTGGTGAGTGAGCTCTTTTCCATGGGCCTTCATTATTATCAACACACCTCCGAGTACTCCCTACCTACCCCATTGTCACCTCGGTATAGGCTCATTATCTAGGTCTTTAAGAACTTAGCTCATTTTTCAATGGGTACTACCCACCGTCCACACCGAGGTTTCATCCCAGGTTCCATCTAGGAATGCATTCTTGTGGCAGGGGTACGGTCACCTCGTCCACCACAAGACCCTATTCAATCATCTAACCCTAATTTTCCAAATGGCGCATACCCGTCCAACCCTAAAACTCCATACGGAGCGTAGAAGCATAAGTAGACTAGTAGAGAAGATTAGGGTGACTTACCCAAGCACAATTAAAGTAGATGAAGCATTAAAATAAACTAGACAAACACATTCATTCAAAACCCTAACATATACATTCATTACATAATATCCCTAAAACTAGGGTTTGGGGTTCATAACCCCTAGTACCTTAAGAGACTACTCCATAAAGGAGGGAAGAATATACATAGAAGATTTTGGTGAGACTTGAAATTGATGAAGCTGGCTCCTCTCTTCCAGCTTCTCATCCTTCTACTTCATCTCTCCTCTTCTCCTTTCTTCAGCTTCTCTATCTTCTCTTTCTAAACAAAAAATTTCTATCTCAAAATCAGCTCTCCTAAAATAGGGGAAGAGGTCCTATATTTATAGACTATAGGAAGACGGACAAGTTTACGACCGAGCAAAGCGAGATAGCGGTCGTGATCTTTTCCTTCGAGACTACAATCTTCAGGCGTCGCCGTTTTGGTCTTCATCTGCTGGGAGTTCGTGGCCTGACTTCACGGTAGCGATCCGTGAGTCGTGACCGCAAACTTCCACGCGGTTAGGAAAGGCTGTGATCGTGATCAGAGTGACAAAACTTTATGTTCTCTCTTGGTTGGCTTCTTCATGAAATTTGCGTCCAAGGGCTCCAATTTCGCGTCCGCGAACTTGGGTTCCCAGGCTACGATCTTCACCAGATCTTTTCCTTTAGGTCGTGATCATCACCTTCCTGCCTATTTTGCTACACTTGTGCCCTTTTTTTAACCTAATTCACATATATCGTCTAAAGCACCCAAAAATCACAACATAAACAAATAGGAACAAAATATGGATGCAATCGATGATATTCTTCTGATAATGCACATGAATCAGCACAAAACAAACCTAAATATGAAGGGTAAATAACACCAATTTGGGTGTTATCAAGTTGTACTTGCTGGATGAGCGCAGAGACAAAGCCACTGTATGGCTCGAAGTAATTGAAAGGGGTAAATCCCACATTTAGTCACTGAGATTACTAAATTGTGTCATGTTCAATCACTAGAAAAATTTAATATCAATTTAGGTCACTTGAATTATTGAAACATGTCACATTAGTCACTCTCCCATTAGCCTCTGTCTAACTCCGGTCACTCGAATTACTGAAACGTGTCACATTTAGTCACTCGAATTACTAAAACAAGTCACATTTAGTCACTCTCCCGTAAGTTTCCGTCCAACTCCACTTGGACGGAAGAGTGACTTAATGTGACCTGTTTCAGTAATTCGAGTGACCAAAATTGATATTAAATTTTTCTAGTGACTATATATGACACGATTTAGTAATCTCAGTGACCAAATGTGGCATTTACCCTAATTGAAAGGCATGTGGTCCGACATTACAACTAGAAAATGCACCCATTGGCATTCTGCACGAAAGTCTGGTGCTAAAGAGAGGGTTTCACCCAGATTTGAGGGAAGGCAAATTAGCACCCAAGTGGAAAGGAACATACAGGGTACAAGAGGTGGTGGTCGCTGGAACATTCAAGCTGGAGCATACCAACAGCAAAGCAATGAAGAGCACTTGGAGTGCCCTAAACTTAAGACTTTACCATGCACCTCCTGAGTAGTTGTCTATTCATGACAAGTATTCTAGATATGGTTTATTTGTAAACATCCTAGTTCCATATTTTTGTGCGATGTGCTATCGGAGTTAACCAAAGCGCCCAAGTATAGTGCAAGTCCAATGTAAAGCGCCCAAACAAAGTGCCCTAATAAAAAAGTACTTTCTTTTGTTGAGCTAAGTTTTTCATATTTTAATGTGTAAGGATCGGGAATACATTTATGAGATTTTTTGTTCTAAGTACAAAGGATGGTAAAGCGCCCATACACCTTGAGTTTATAAGACTATATGTAACACCCATACATACATTAAAACATTCATAAGATCATGTCGATTAACACCGTTTTTACAATCTCATTTAGTTTACAAACCAAACCTTAATTTATATAAACTTGTAAAACTTCAGAGCACATGACATTAAAGAAGATCATTTTCTCTCAAAATACGATAAAGAAGTCATGTCGTAGTCCAAGTCCACCATCCCCCCTCATAGATGTCGAGTTGGGTCTTAGTGAGTTCCCTTGATTTCTAGTCCAAAACATGATCGATACACCAAGCCTGGTATCGCTCTCCTAGAGAGCTAAGCATAAAGGTGCATTATCAGATCTCATAGAGTGCATGACAGGGCTCCATTAAGTTTGATTTAGGTGATCAAAAAATTCTTTAGTTAGCCACATAAACAAAATCATACATTATCATTATTCAAACATTCTCAACCATACCATCATATATGAGCATAACATCGCCTGTTGGATTTCTATTTCATATATCGCCTCATAGGCTTACCAGTATCATATAATGCCTTATAGGCTCCCCAGTATCACACGATAGCCAATTATGCTATCCTAGTAACATTATATGGTAATTCAACCTATTCCACATCATATACATGTCACAGTTTCATTCATAATTATCAATCATCATTTACCACTTTTCACATATATGAACACATAGCTATACATTCATATAACTCATCCATCATGCATACATGGCAACTCATATGCACACATATAACCATGTCCGTTCAACCATTCCACATCGCACATTTCATATTCGAGTCGCTTAATGACCCAAATATCATATTTATATTTATAAGGTTAATAGGTTAGAGTTTACTCACAGTTTGATAATTAATCCACAACCTCTTTTCCCTTTGAGGATTCCCCGACTTGCTCTTTTCCTTTAATTACACAATTAACACACCATTTAGTGATATATTACACATAGGGAGTCTATATTTTGGGAAAAAATGGGACATGCACCTTGGAAGCCCCTGAGGTTACATAGCCGTGAATTTCATGGTTTTGGCCGTGCAAGCCACTTGGAAGCTTCACACGGTCGTGTGGTCGTTTGCACAACCCGTGCAACTTACCCCCTTCCACAATTTTGGTCATTTATTTCTTGATTCTTGATCAAATCGACTGATTCTTTTTTATAGTTAAACTAACTTCATATGGCTACTACATATCAAAATTTCAGACCATTTGAACCAGTGAATTTGGTTTGGCACGCAATTGAAGTTGAAGGTTCAAAATTGAATTTTCTACTTCCTCTTCCACTACTCCCATTCCTTTTATCCATCCATTCTTAAAACCCACACCATAACCTCTTGGCCAATCTCCATGATAAAACATGTCTATATACACTCACACAAAATCATCATAACCCTTTACTTCATTCATCAAACATGGTATGGTCAAGAACCCGGTTTTGGGAAACTTTGTCATTTTGATCCATAACTAACTCTTTCTTCCCTTGATTTCTAACATCTTTAAACACGATTCCCAGCATGAAATCAAGCAACAAATCCATAAGTTTTACCCTAGAATAATTTATAGGGCTTAGGGTATTTTCTTGGAGAAATGAAGAAGATGCAACCATGGTTTCTTACCTCTTCAAGCTGTCCCCTCCCTATTCTCCAACTCTCAAAGCCTTAGCTACCTTAATTTCCAGATTTTTGGGATGTTGGAAGATGGTGCTGGTGATGGTTTGGAAGAGAAGGGAAGGAAATGGAAGATGAGAAAGAAGAGAGGGACAGAGCATATTTTGTCTCCTGCAAAGTCCCTATATAACACTCTTCTTCTTCAATCCACAACCTCCACTTGGCACCCCTATCAGCATTCACTCCTCCAATTTTATTTTCTCTCCAATTTAGTCCTTAAAATTTGATAAACCACCAAAATAACTTACTAATCTCTCCTAAATCACCATAATCATTCAATTCCCGACGTAAGGGACAATACAATTATTCGCGTCATTAATGACGTTATTATAATAAAATTATGCTTATGAGGGTAATGATGTTACACTATAAGGTGTCTAGGTACTTTTGCACCCTTTGCCATTTAAATCGCCCAAGACCTGTTGCGTCTAAGTAATCAAAGTGCCTAAGAAAGTAGCGCCCGATAATTATTTTGTACTTTACTCGGTGTTGGAAATGACAAGTTCGTGTGCGGTCACACTAAAAATAGTAACAACAGCAAACTCAAATGCAATTGAAATAACCATAGTGAAATATGAAGCATGAATATTATAAGTATGTCAAGTTGCCAAAATGATGTTTTGAAGGAAAAGTAAGAGTAAAAAGTAAACAAGTCTGGCATTCACTAGCTTGTCTAACGCTCATCCCTTCGCATCATTCACGTGTTGCACGTCCTCTTCTTTCGAGATCTTGCATCATTCTACAAAGTTGACTTATTCATAGTTAAGTATACAGCATACTCATTTCACACCTTCTTGTGTTCACCATAAAGCGTCATTTCAAGAAGAGAGGCAAATTTGGCATCTTCCAGTTGCGCTTTGTCGCACTGCCTGATAAGTTCTTGGCACATGTGTGCACTATTGAGACTGTCATTCAGTGTGCTTGTGGACTTAAAACACTCCATATTTTCTGCAATTAAGTGCTCCTTCTCCTAGGTGGCAATTTCTGCAAACAACATCTTTAAAGAGTACAAAGTGTTAGTAATTATACAAGTACTTAATCAATGAGTAGACAACATGGTTTAGCAGTTTACCTGTGCTCCCATTCGAGCTACCTCCTTCCATGGGTGAGACCCACCAATCCTATTAGATAATTAATAGTATTTTAATAGGTTTGAATAATATAAAAGAATCTAAAAAAGGTTTGGATAAAAATAGGCATTACCCTTGTGGGGGTAGGGCATGGAATGCTGCTCAGGCCATTAGTCTCTGTGACTTTGTTCATGATTTGGTTCTCCATGACCCTGGTTATCAAGAGGATCAATTCACGTGGACGAATAAGCGCATGGGTGCGGCGTGCATTCAGGAACGTCTGGATAGGGCGCTTTGCTCCCAATCCTGGATTGATACATTTCCTGAGACTTTGGTCAAACATTTTACGGACCAGGGATCGGATCATCATGCCCTTCTTCTCGCTGATAAACCGTATTGTCAGACTAGTCGTCCCCTATTCCGGTTTGATGCCCGCTGGGCGGATAATCCGCAGGTTAGGGCTATGGTCCACTATGTCTGGCAAGAGGAGATCCAAGGTACCCTTATGTTTCGACTTTGGGAGCGCCTGAAGAATCTTCGCCATCTATTTTAAGATTGGAGCAGGGCGGGCACTACGAATTCCCTACACAATATCAGAAATCTCCCGGCTGAGATTGATCGGATAAAGTCGATCCATCCGGTGGACTGGGATGAGATCAAGTCCCTGGAAACGAAGCTATCCCGTCAGTGGGAAGCGGAGGAGGTATACTGGTAGCAAAAATCCAGGGTACGATGGTTAAAAAAAGGAGATCAAAACTCTTCCTATTTCCATACGGTCACTCGGGCTCGGCGGAAAAGGAATTTTGTTTCTGGGCTCCCAAATGATGAGGGTGACTGGGTCACTAAGTAAAATGGGAAGGCTACTATTGCGACCAACTTTTACCATACTATGTTTACCACGGAGACCCAGGTTCCTAATATGATGGATAGGGTGGCGAATCTTCCGATTGCCCATAGTGATACTCCGCAGATGAATGCGCAATTTACAGCGGAGGTTCTGCCTAGTGAGGTTCGGAGAACGGTCTTTTCAGTGGGATCGCAGCAACCATCGGGATCGGATGGCTTCACAGGAAAGTTCTTCATAAGCATTCTGGGATATTGTGGGCACTTCGGTGATTGAAGCAATAGTTTCCTTCTTTACAACTAGTGGGATGCTGCGGAGTTTTAATCATACCTAGCTCACTTTGATTCCTAAAGTGGATTGTGTGGAAACAATCAGACAGTTGCGGCCGATCAGCATCTGTGAATTTGTTTATAAAGTGATAACCAAAATCATGGTTGAACGGCTCGCTAGTCTGCTCCCTCAGATTATCATGGAGGGTCAGAATGCGTTTATAAGAGACCGGCAGATTATTGATAACATCCTTATAGGACATGAGTTATTGCATTATCTAAAAATAAAGAAGGGGTACTTGGCTTTAAAGGTTGACATCGAAAAAGCCTATGATAGAGTCGAATGGCCCTTCTAGCGGTTTTGGACAAAATGGATTTTAACTCTGTCTGACAAGGATGGATACATGAGTGTTTTCGTTCCTCCTCATTCTCGGTTCTGATGAATGGTACACCCTCGGGTTATTTCACTGCCTCTAGGGGGCTCCGCTAGGGGGATCCGCTCTCTCCCCCTTGTTTGTGCTTTGCACGGAGGGGTTTGCGGCCCTCCTTCGGAAGGCGATCTCAGAGAAGAAACTAGAAGGGGTGAAGGTGGCGCCTCGTGGTCCAAGAATCTCTCATTTGTTCTTCGCAGATGATTCTTATTTATTCCTGCGAGGATCTCTTCAGGAGTGCGAGAATTTAATTGTGGTTCTGAATGAATATGAGGAACTGAGTGGCCGACGGGTTAATCTGGAGAAATCTGCGGTGTGCTTTAGCAAAAATATTGCCCTGCCAGATCAGGATTTCTTGGCCATGATCTGGGTTGGTGCAGTGGGTGTCCATGATAAATATCTGGGGTTACCCACGCTGGTTGCCAGATCAAAAATGGCCACGTTCATATATTTGGAAGAGAAACTAATAAAGCGACTTCAAGGTTGGAAGCAATAGTCGTTGTCCTGGGCGACTAAGGAAACATTGATTAAATCCATAGAGTTGGCCCTACCCTTGCACGTTATGTCATGTTTCCGGCTTCCCTCTCTCTTTGTCGACTACTTGATAGACATGTGGCCCGTTTCTGGTGGGGTGCTAAGGAGGACCATCCTAAGGCTAGATGGGTGTCCTGGAATAATATGTGCAAGAGTAAACCTGATGGGGGGATGGGGTTTCACCAGTTTGAACATTTTAACCAAGCTCTTTCAGCTAAGATTGGCTGGCATATTCTCAATGAACCTCATTCCCTCCTTGCCCAGGTTTATAAAGGGAAGTACTTCCCTCAAGGTTCATTCCTGAGCGTGACGGCTAGATCACGCCCCTCATGGGGGTGACAGAGTATCCTCTATGGGCGAAAGTTATTGGAGATGGGTTTAAGATGGCAGGTTGGCAATGGCCAATCGGTCTCTCTTCTCCACTCTAACTAGATTTCTGGATACCATCCCGATCCCCCTTGCTATAATCCGCTTATCCTGCCAGGTGGGGGTGATACCTTGGTGGCGGAGGTTATTTGTGAAGGGGAAGGCCAGTGGTCTGATGCTAAGCTTAGTCTATGGTTTGACCCGCCTACCTGCAGCGCCATTAAGGCTATTCCACTTTCGTGGCGGAATGTGGCCGATAAACTTATCTAGCATAACACGGCTGACGGGGTTTTCTCGGTAAAATCGGCTTACCATCTGGCTGTAGATTTGGACAGGAGGAGGGGTGGGTGGCGATCCTCGGCTAGTTGGATGGATAAGCCAAGTTGGATCAGGGTGTGCGAAGCTAAGATCCCTTCGAAGCTGAAGGTCTTTGTCTGGAAAATTCTTAACCGGGCTCTACCAACTACAGAGGCGCTTATTGAGAAAAAAGTCATGTGCTGCCCCAGTGTCCAGTTTGCTGGGATAGCTCAGAGACGATGGAACATCTGTTTCTTTATTTTCCGGTTGCGCGGGCTCTCTGGGACTATTTAGGGCTGGAATACTTGGGGGAGGGTTTGCCTCGGCACACCTTCCCATTATTCCTCAAACGTTTATTGGCGCTGATCCATGACCAGTCTTTGGTTATGGCTGTTGTTGCCATCCTTTGGCGGATCTGGCGGTCTCGTAGTTGGGTTGTCTTTGAAGGCAAACAGTTTGGGATCCCGACGCTCATGCGACAATTTAACCAACAGTATGAGGAATGGGTGGGCTTGCCAATAGATCAGGTGCCTAGCGTGACGTGTCCGTTGGTTCAGCCAGCAACTCCAGTGGGTGACTCACGGTTGGTTTGCATGTGGGATGGGGTCACTAAGAGTGGGTCGCATTCGGCTGGTGGGATGGTTATTCTAACCCCGGAGCGGATGCTACTTCTGGCAAAAGAGGTTCAGTTTCCTCAAATGGATGAGCATGCAGTGGTGGAATTGCTTGTGCTTCGGGAGGCTATTATTTGGTGTTTGGAGTGTGGCTTTTCGGAGGTCTGGTTCGAGGGCGATGCCAAGGTGATTATTGATAAAAATTATTCAAGCCGACACAAGGGATAACCGGTTGGGTGCTGTCCTGGAAGAGGTAGCTCAATATTTTCACGCCCAGCCTGGGTTTAGTGTGTGATTTATAGGTCGGGAGAACAATAGGGTAGCTCATTCGATAGCTAGAAAAGCCCTCTCTTTGTATCCGACTACGTGTCGGTTCTTTGATTTCCGGGCCTGGCTGGTTTCCAGGATGTAAATATCTATTTCTTTTTGATCAATTTATGATATCTTTTGACAAAAAAAAAGGCATTACCCTTTAATATAAAAAATACCTAAGACATTGATTTTTCATTGAAATTTCGAGAAACAAACTATAACGTTATGCAAAAAAAATTAAATTATTAAAAAAAATGAAGTTCTCGCCTATATATAACTTAATTGTAGCAAACAATTCATATAATAAAAGTAAAATCTTAAGCTACTTAATTAAAAATGTATATAATTCAAACAAAACGAGATAATAAGATGGGTTGGATATCCATGTATGGCTCTACGGAAGGAATAATACCAATTACCAACCCAAACAAAATCATATATATTGAATAAGACGAATTAACTCCAAATTTTCATCTTTGTGTCTTATCATTAGTGAGTGACAGACATATCAATTACATGTCACCCACCTTCATGTAGGATTCCCCTACGAGGGATTATGGCAACATAAAGAGATAGTCAAGTGAGAGAGTAATCCATTGTGTAATACAATTTAATAGTAAAATATTTCTTTTTCTTAAGAAATAAGCTCTATCCACTAGAACACAACAACTATAAAAATGCCATTTCTATCCTCAAGTATTCTATATGACAATTCTAATTTAATTTAATGAAATTTATCGGGTTTCATATTTCGATTTGAAGCAAGAGCGCCCTTACTATGTCATATTAATTAACTTTAATTGTCTCTAATTTTCTTTTTCTCCCCTTCAAAATTTTCCTCTACCGGGTAAAATTTGTTGTTTCGAGCGATCTCACGCACTGCTCTTGTTGCAGCAAAGATGGAGGCTTTCTCCTTGACTTCTTCATTGCTGACAACGTCCTCATCTGGGCAAGCGGGCAATTTTTCATCGCCTATCATTTAGGCATATGCAAAATTACGCATTCTTGAACCATGGTGGCTATTATTGATTGTTGAACCAACTTGTTAACATAAGGTCTCGATAAAAATCAGATACATAAACTGAACATAATAGGCATTGTTCAAGTCCCAGAGCAGTGGCGGAGCCAGGAGTTAAATTTAGTTGTCTTTTCTAAAATACAAATATTTGATACATATAATTAAATAATAATCATATCCAAGTAATGTATTCATAGAAAAAATAAATAGCCAACTAATATAATTATCATATTCATAAAAAAAATCATGACGTTGAAGACATGTAAAATATATTCATTGTCTGGCAGAATACGAGTAAGTGAGAAGAAGAGAGACTGATTAGGAATCTAATGTAATTGGAGATCTAGCTTAACATCATAAATATATTCTCTAACAAGATGCTCTTATGTGAATTTAGAGGTGTGGAGTTTGATCCTCTATATTTGAATACTTTGGGATTGGTTATATTTTTACTCAAAACTAGGTTTGTTGTGTGACACAACTAAAATAGTCGGCCTCCTTGTGTGTTCTAGAGTGATCCTTATTTTCATCCTTTCTTTTTTTTTTTTGACAAAAGATAATCATATATTGATAGAAACAAATCGATAGTTACATCCTGGAAGCCAGCCAGGTCTGGAAATCAAAATACCGACACGTAGTCGGGAACAAAGAAAGGGCCTTTCTAGCTACAATATGAGCTACCCTATTGTCACCTCGACCTACAAATTGTAAAGAAAACCCTGGATTATCCCTGAAATCTGAACCAGCTCCTCCAAAATAGTCTCAACCCGACTGTCGCAAACATCAGCCCTACAGATCTTATCAATGATCACCTTCGCATCCCCTTCGAATCGCATGACCGGAAACCTATGCGCTAAACACCAACAGACAGCTTCCCGAAGCGTAAGGAGCTCCACCACCATTGGTTCAGCCAGGCCCAGAAATTGAATCCATGCAGCCCAAATCAGCGTTCCTGCCTCATTGAGAAGTACCATACCCCCCGCAGAATGCGACCCTCGTCGAACCGCCCCATCCCAACGACATACAGGTCCACCTGACTCGCTAACTACCCCAGCAGGGCGATCAGGTAGAAGAGCCGAAGGAGACTGGGGATCCCTCGGCAGGGCGAGCCATTCTCCTACTTGCTGGTTATACTGTCTCAATAAAACCGGAATGCTGAATTGTTTCCCTTCAAATACCACCCAATTCCGGGATCTCCAAATTCGCAACAAGATAGCAATCACCTCCAAGAACTGCGAAGGTTGATGTACAATAGCCAGCAATTTTCTAAGGAATAGGGGGAAAGTATGACGGGGCAACCCTTCGCCAAGAGACTCCAGCCCCGCCTGCGACCACAAAGCCCTAGCCACCGGACAATCAAGGAACAAATGCTCCATTGTCTCCCTTGACGCCCAGCAGACCGGACAACGGGGCAAGACCTCCACATCTTTTTCAATAAGAGCCTCTGTCGTTGGTAAAATTCTGCTCAAGATTTGCCAGACAAACACCTTCAGTTTCGGGGGGATATTAGCGTCCCAAACCCGAATCCAACTCTGCTTATCCATCCAACTAACCTGAGCCCACCATCCCCCACTCTGCCGGTCCAGAGAGACCGCCAAATGATAATCCGATTTCACAGTAAAAATCCCATCCTCCGTAGCATGCCAGATCAAACGGTCCTCGATATTCTACCGTGGTAGGGGCATCGCCCTAATCGCCTGGCAAGTCAGAGGGTCAAACCACTGGCTCAAATTATCCTCGCACCAGCGCCCTTCCCCATGACATAGGACAGCCGAGACCATCAGTTCCCCATCATCCGGCAGAACCCGAGGGTTATACACAGGATAAGAAGGAAGCTGAGTCGGGATCCAATTTGAATTGAGCAAAAGAGCTTTCTGACCATTCCCAATCTGCCACCGCAAACCCTTGGACAATAACTGCCGGCCAAAAAGAATAATTTGCCATCCCCAGTAAGGGCGGGAGCGCGGCTGAGCCAAAAGAAAGGAACCCTGCGGAAAATACTTCCCTTTATAGACCTGGGCTAGGAGAGACTGGGGTTCATTCAGGATAAGCCAACCGATCTTTGCCAAAAGCGCTTGATTAAACTGTTCGAACCGGCGAAAACCCATCCCCCCCTCATGCTTGCTTCTGCACAAATTTCTCCAGGAGATCCACCGAATCTTAGAACGACTATCCTCGACCCCCCACCAAAACCTGGCCTCATGCTTGTTCAGGAGACGTCAAAGCGACAAAGGCAGGCGAAAGCAGGACATCACATGGAGCGGTAGAGCTAAGGCGACAGATTTAATCAGCGTTTCCTTAGCTGCCCACGACAGATTCCTGCGTTTCCAACCCTGCAAACGTTCTAAGAGCTTCTCCTCCAAGTAGCGAAAAGTGGCCGTCTTGGAACGAGCAATCAAAGTGGGTAGACCAAGGTACTTATCATGTACCCCTACAGCACCGACACCCAGGATTGCCGCCAAGAACTCCTGATCTGGTAAAGAGACATTCTTACTAAAGCAAACAGCCGATTTCTCCAAATTTATCCTCTGGCCACTAAGCTCCTCATACTCATTAAGAACTTCTATAAGATTCTCACACTCCTAAAGGGAACCGCGGAGGAATAAGTAAGAATCATCAGCAAAGAACAAATGAGAGATGCGGGGAGCCCGCGGAGCCACCTTCACGCCTTCCAGCCTTTTTTCAGAGATGGCTTTACGAAGTAAGGCAGCAAAGCCCTCCGTGCAAAGCACAAAGAGAAGGGGCGAAAGGGGATCCCCCTGTCGGAGCCCCCTTGATGGTGCAAAAAAACCCGATGGAGAACCATTCATGAGGACTGAAAACATTGTCGACTGCAAGCATTCTTGAATCCAACCACGCCAGATCGAGTTAAAACCCATTTTCTCCAAAACCGCGAGAAGAAAAGACCACTCCACTCTATCATAGGCCTTTTCCATATCAACCTTCAGAGCCATGTATCCCTTTTTGCCTCGGGTTTTGATCTTCAAATAGTGCATTAACTCATGTCCAATCAGGATATTATCCACTATCTGTCTTTCCCTTATAAAGGCATTCTGGCCATCGGAGACAATGAGCGGCAAGATTTTTGCCAGACGTTCCGCCATGATTTTCGTGATAACTTTATATATGAACTGGCATAAGCTTATGGGGCGAAGTTGACGCATGGATTCCACCTGATCCACTTTTGGAATTAGCGTCAACCAGGTGTGGTTAAAACTCCTAAGCATCCTGCTTGTAGCAAAGAAGGAGCCAACCGCAGCCATAACTGAATCCCCAACAATCCCCCAGTAAGCTTTAAAGAACTTTCCCGTGAAACCATCCGAGCCTAGCGCCTGTTTTGAACCCATTGCAAAGACCGTTTTGCGAATCTCCGCCGGACTAACCTCTGCGGTTAGGGCAGCATTCATTTCAGGAGTCACATTGGAAGCAATAGGTAAATTAGCCACCCTCTCCTTCATATTGTGCACTTGGGATTTTGAGGTGAAGAGAAGTTGATAGAAATCGACCGCAATCTCCGCCTTCCCTTTCTCCTCCGTAACCCAATCTCCATTGTCATTAAACAGACCCGAGACAAAGTTTTTCTTTCTCCGGGTACGCGTGACCGTATGGAAGTAGGAAGTATTCTGATCCCCTCTTTTCAACCAACGGACACGCAATTTCTGTTGCCAGTACCGCTCCTCGGCCTCCCACTGCCTGTTCAATTCCGATTCTAGTGAAGTCACTTCCTGCCAGTTAATCGAGTGAACAGCCTTTATCCTAGTAATTTCATTTTGCAAGGTATGGATATTGCGTAGGGAATTGGTGGTACCCGCTCGGCTCCAATCATAGAGTAAATGACGGAGCTTTTTCAATCTTTCCCACAACTGGAACATCGGGGTACCCTGAACCGGTTCTTGCCAAACGTACGCAACCATAGCCTTGACCTCTGGGTTATCCGCCCATCTGGCATCAAATCTGAATAGAGGGCGACATGTCCGGACATAGGGTTGATCGGATAGGAGTAATGCCCGGTGATCAGAACCTTGGTCCGTGAAATGCTTCACTAAAGTATCAGGGAAACGATCCATCCAGCTTTGGGAACACAGGGCCCTATCCAATCTTTCCCGAATACAAGCCACCCCCATTCGTTTATTTGTCCACGTAAAAGGGTCACCCTGGTATCCTGGATCGTGCAACCCAAGATCTTGGACCAGGTTGCGGAGGTCTAGAGCTTGAGAAGCATTCCAAGAATTCCCACCGTCCTTCTCTCTTTCATGCAGGGTCACATTAAGGTCACCAATGATCACAAAAGGGACCTGGAGGCTTTCACAAATCTCACGGATCTGGACCAATTGGGCTGCTCGCACAGTGATATTACAGCTAAGGTAGACACAGAGCACCCGTACGAAAAATCATTTTCATTAATTCTCGAACAAATACAAAAATTCGAATGATAAAACACCAAAGCATCGACTTCGGGGGACCAGGCCACTACAAGACTACCAGAACCATTTAAACAATCAACAAAAAAACATTGAGCCGACTCAAAACCTAAACCCCTCAAACGACGGGAAACAACACGCCTGGACGACCTCGTTTCTGAAAAGAAAACCAAGTCCGGCTTATTAGAACGAACTAAACTAAAATCTTACTGGAATGTGAGGGATGACCCAATTCCTCTCACATTCCAGGCTAGGAGCCTCATTTATCTGCTTGGGGCCACTCTTGGCTGGCTTCCTCCACCAAATCAGCGTTAACAGTCTCAATTTGCTCCTCCACAAACTGCCTCTTTGGAGTGGGACTATCCGCGGACATCCCCTCCAGCTTTTGTAGTGACCTCTTCCGGTTTCCACCCTCCAGATTGGATCCATATTCATTTATCTTAAGGACCATCTCTTCCTTCTCCCCCTCCAAATTCCCCTTCGCATCATTGATCACTAGCCCTTCTTCAAAAGCAGCCACAACCTGTTTTACTTGTCCGGGTTGGACCAGTTGCTCATGTTCTGTAGGCAGACGCCTATTCTTGATCATAAAGCGAGATTCATCCTCCTCTGATAGAGACTCATCGGAGAGGGCACACTCCTCAGCCTTCTGATCATCCTCCACCGACTTCCCTTCATCCACCACCGAACCTCCCGCCGCATAATTAATATCGACCGGAGCAGAGTGGACAACCCTGGCTTTTCCAGTCCCTTTCTTCTTTCCACCTCGGTTCGGGTTCGCCAAGCTTTCGGCTGCCACCTCCTCTTCCTGCGGGGTCAACGCAGACCCTTTCTGTTTGCGCCCCGGACAGGGGGTCGACTTCCCCTGGGATTTGCCATCCAGCTTCTTCGTCACCCCCACCTTCACCAGCTTGCGCCCCTTCGTTTTTTTTTTCACAGTCAGCCAGCGGTGCTGGGTCTTGATTGATGGGCATAGGTGGCTCAAAATCGTCCTCCATTTCCTCCAAGATCAGTCTTCGACGGAAGGTTTCAGTGGGAGCGAGTCTACCCGCCTGCGTTCCGCAGGCTGCGGAGGTTCCTCATCGCCGACACCCACCACCTCGGGGCAGTCAACAGTCACATCCGGTAGCAAAGGCTGCTGCCTCTGCCGCCCCGCCCGAACTCCAGCTCCTTCCTGCCGCTTCTCATCACGTCGGGACGAGGTCAGACCCCTAGCAGAGTTGTCGATCTGGGCCCGCATCGGACGTGCAGTTCGGCCGACCTTTAGCATCGACGATCGTGCCACGCGGAAGCCACGAGGGCTAGACTTGCGATGCACTCCCACCGGCTCAGGAGGGTTTGCCACTCGAGGGGAAGCTCGGAATTGACGGGGCTGAGGCTGGACAGGGGACATTTGCATCTCCCCACCATACGCAAAGCCGCTTTCCTCCTTTCTTCCTTTTTGGTCACGGAACGAATTATTGACCCACACCTTGGTGGCGCCTCTTGGGTAAATGGGCCCATTCTCCTCCGTATCATAAATGCGAATCCCTAGCTTCCTGGTGGTCATCTGAGGGCCATATCTTTCCGTTCGAGCAGGAGGATCAAAGGAGCAAGCCCGAAGAGAATGACCCACCCTACCACACTAGTAGCAGAAGCTAGGTAGGTATTCGTACTTTAAGTTCACCCAGAAATTCCATGTGTCATCATTTGTTGCCACGATCTGAGATCGCAGGGGCTTTGTGAAATCAACAAGAGCTTTGACCTTTACAAACCAAGCTCCAGAATCTTGACAGGCAAAAACACCTGTTTCCAGCACTCTCCCAATCGAAGCACCCACCATTTTCCTTCCAAACTGCTGCGTACAGCAATCCTCTCTAACATCCCACAATTGAATTCTGAACGGGGCAATTGGCAGGTCATCAAACGTTTGTTTCGTTATAGATGGGGTCCACGGCCGGAGATGAATAAGCTGGTCATTGATGACCCAGGGTGTGCGCTTGAGCACCCAGGTTTTGGTCTCCTCGTTTGGTAGCATGAACTCCACCAAACCTTGCTTGGCCAGCACCACCCTAATTCGCCCTTGGATGAGCCAGGGAGAAATCACCGAATCTCTCCACTCAGTCGTAGAGATCCTTTTGGACGTGAACACCCTACCCAGCAGCGAATGAGAAGCACGATACTTCGTTGATTGGACCTCTTCCATAGAAAATTGCACCACCTGGTCAGCGAAGATGTGCGCCATTATCCAGGTCTGCAAAAGAGGAGTAGGTAAATCAACACTAGTCACCAAATTCCCCATTGTTAGTGACTGCATGCCCATGCATTCTACGACCATCGGACTAGTGTCCTCCACCAAACATCCTTTCTTGTTTTTACTCAATCCCCCTGGCTCATCACGTAAAAGCGGATCATGTTCCAAAAACGTTACCCGAGAAAGGAAGGTGGAGGAAGATACCATACCTGCGTGGATAGGAAACCTTGGGGTGACGCCGACTTGCTCTGCTTTAACTTGCTTTCTATCTCGCCACAAATTATTGCTCAGGATAGTATAGTTATTAGCAGTCACTTTAAATAAGAGTCGGCTCACTCTATCTGGTTTTTCCAAAGCCACGCGGTTTAGGGTTAGTCGAGACCAAATATGAGAGGGACTCTGCATCCGAGGCAGATTTGTTTGATTTTTTAATTTAAAAAATCCCATAATCTCGGTAGCAAGATTTGGGAAAGATATTCCCCTAACAACCTTGCAATGTGCAGGGGATTTCGCGTAACAGTAACCACCACTCGCAGCGTCCCCGACGACGGAGCTCAGAGAGCATTCCGGCCACCATAGGGAATCACGCCGACCAGGGCCATTCGAGACACCAGTAATCAAAGAGGGGGGAGAGGTAGTCCCGATTGCCATTTCCGAGTTGGCAACCATGAGGGTTGTATCGACTACCAGCTCCTCCACAGTCAACCCCTCCGTCAAGGGGGCATTAAAATCCGGTCGCCAGAGGTTTCTGCCCTGGACGTGAGTTTCTGATCCGCCAACAGCCAATGGTGGGGAAGAGGTAGTCCCCCATTTTGGTTTTATTGACTAACCGTTCCTCCAAATCAAACTCTTCCATTGAGGGGATCGTAAATGACCATGCTGCTTTTTTTGAGAATCGTCGCCGCTTGAAACTAACGATATTGAAGTCATTTTCTTCAATCGCGATCAGACCAGATTTCCGCTTTGCGCTTTTTTGAGCCAAAGATCGATCACGAAGGGTAGGCCTTCTATTACCTGGGACTATTTTGCGTCTCCGGCGATCGGTACAGGACCTCACCCTTCTCTTGATATCGGTTTCCTCCTGGGTATCTGTGGAAACATAACACCTATGAATGCTTGAATCCCATCGTTGCCCCCCAATATTGATTGCGCAGACATCTGAAGAAGATTGAGATGAACAAGGTGATCAGGATTTTCCCTGCCCGGCGGGCAAGACTCGGGAGAGAGGAGAGAGCTCTCCTCATCCCCCTTTTTTTCTTTTTTATTCCGAGTAAGTATTTCATCCTTTCTATGATGTAGAAATACTACTATTTTGTATGGTCATTCAAACTTAAATAAAATAAAAAATAAAATTTGATTTATGAACACAACCAAAGCCTATTAACCGGTCCAGACAACCCAAATAGGCTCAAGGTCCTTAGCTTCCCCTGAAGTACCTAGCTACCAAAATTAATCTAGCGGTCATTCAAGCCTATCTCGATCAAACAATAGTCAAGTCATAATTCTCTCTAAGTCATAAATAAAGAATACCATTAAAGAAGCCACCATCAAGAATTGATTCCAATTACAAAGGAACAAACATTGTGGCTTACAGTCTTCACCATAGAAAAAATTGAAATTTAAACATTGGCTTAGGTAATCAATTAGCGGGGTAATAATCGACTTTAAGATGAGGTATTAGGAACAAAATAAATAAATAAATAAACAGCCTATACAAATACGTGTAAAACTAACACTGATGAAAGGCATTAAGAACCTTTGAAAATTGCTCCAATTCCGAGCCACAATTTCATATAGCTACATATAATTTAATTAATTATGCCCTGTAATGAGCAGACAACCCTGATTCAAGTTCTCATTAGTCTTCTTTCGATGAGACACTAGAGTATTCAACCTCATTTTTAGATGAAGTTACCTCAGATGAACCTGTTGATGACACGATCTTATTAGCTTCACCCTCGGAATTCTTTGTTGGGTCTCCTCCGGGTGGATTATCAGCAGCAGCAGCAGCTTGTGCTGCTGCTTTCTGGCCTTCCTCTGCTAGTCTTTTCACAATATTCATCACAGTTGGAAGGAATTTTGCAGACAAGGCAATGAGACCAGGTAGCTATAAAAAGCAGAAATACAACAAGTTAATCAAAGTTTCAATGAGACATATTCTTAACTTCTTTCAAACGTTACTGCAGTTTACTTTAATCACCCTGTAATCAATATCCAATGCTAACTTCAGAAGAAAATAGCAAGAAGATTGTGGTCTTAAAAACACTTCATGAGAGCTTGATACTTACAGCACCATGTTGGAATTCACCCGCAACATCCATTTGCACCCATAAGGCTTTAACAAGTAGAAACGCGACAAATATAAAAGCCAGGTAAAATGGATTTCTGCAATTACAAAAGCAAGCATAAGATAAAATGAGACTGAAATGAAATAATTATAGTTACTTAGTTGTAAAAGAAGCTCGCAAAGTTGAAAAAAGCACCTCAAAAGTGTCATAAATTCATTAAAGCCTAGAATAATCAAGGCTACAATGGCCCATGGAGGTGGTAACCAATTGTTATTACGTTTGTTTGCTTCCTGCAAATTAACATTAGAATGCATTCATATTAGTGCATATTAAAAGTGAAATTCATACCCAAGAAAATTGAATTGGACAGCATTCATTATGAAACATTCATATAAAGCATTATTGTCACAAAATCCTATCATTGGATTTCCTTTGTGGTTATATACCAACTTGTAATATAATATATAGGTTAGCTAGTAAGTAAACGTATTTTTCACACTACAACATTATGTAATGTCTTGTGTTGCAAGGTCTTAATGGTCTAAAGCCTTGTCCTTGAGTTAAAGAAGTATGCATGTAATATTATATAGAAAAGAAGTTCATACCTGGGCGGAGATGGCCTGAGTCACACTGTATTCTGTTTCTGCTTTGAATTGTCTCCACAAAGATTTACACTGAACTGGTGTGATCAATGTTCTTGACGATGGAATCTGTAGTCATACAACCAAAACAAAGTGTCAATTGGAAAGTCACTACAAGGACATGAAATGCTAACTAAAACAAAGTTTCCCTATTTTAAAAGCATACCTCTTCCCAAGTGCTTGAGGCCAAAGGGTCAGCCGTTGTGGCGGTGCTTTTGTCAGTAATGGCAGGAGTACTAGTGGGTTCCAATAAACAAGAGGATAGCGTTTTCTCGATGGTATCGGGATTATTGTCTAACCGAATCGCGGCCATCACTGATAAGATCTTCAAGGACTGGCAAAATATTACAATATAACTAAATTCGGTTAGAGAAAAAGAAGAAAGGGGGGGAAGAGTATTCATGTTCAACATCTAGAAAAAAATAAAGAGCTCTTACAGCAAAGCGAGCAGTTTTGGTAATTGTTCGAATATCTTCATTTCCGGTCCAAACTCGAGGCATGGAATCGGAATCATGACTAAATAACATCGAAAACCTGTATGTATCAAAATAATTGATAGTTATTAATTACCAATGAGGTGGAAATTTTATAGATAACATCAAAAGAAAAGGATGAATTGAAAAACTTTCAAGGTTTGTCGACCTGTCTTTCATCCTTATAAGGACTCGAGCAGCTTCCTCTTTTGCTTTGGATTCCACAACACCTTTTGCATGATTTTCCAAGTTTTTAAGCATCTCTTCTCTGTATTTTTCATCCATGTCAAAGCCTTTGAGATCATAGGACATCTCTGAAACAGCTGAGTCAGACTCACGTTTCAACAATTTTCTTATTGACGACCAAGTCTCGTGATTAGCTCCATCTAAGAGAGCTTCCACAGGTGCTGATAATGCATGGTTTAGTTTTGTCTGCAACATTCACAACAGAAAAAGTACAGTTGGGGAGGTCAATGATTGCACATGCATTACACTGGAATAAAATGTTGTAACGTTAAGTTTCACTTCGAATAATTTAATTTATTGAAATGAATTCGTAATGGACATGGTATGAAACACTGGATGATTGAATGGTCTTGTTTTCATATATAAAAATCAATATATTAATTGTTGATTGGAACATAAAGTATCATGAATATATGCAAACTTCTAGTCCAATGGGACTTCTTCTTAGAGGAATGTATAAAGGACTTGTGTATATCTAGTTTTGAACCTTTACAGCAGCACTAGTTATAAGGATAAATTGATTCTCCTACCTAACTATATGCAAACTTTGATCTTCAACCATCAACAAATTTCATTCATGAACTATACTTCAAGTTTCAACCTCATGGAACTCTTAAACATTTCAACTTATCAAAATATAAGTACTAGAACTAATGATACCTCAAATGAGGTTGTAAGCTCAGACAGTTTCGCAGCCCGAACAGTAGTAATGTGTGCATCAATGTCGCGTCGAAGCTTCTCTTTAACTTTAGAGGCATCCCAATTTGCTTGATGAATTACAGCATCTATCATCAAGTCACATCCAAAACATGTTTGGTCACACATGTTTATAGTTATTGTTCCTTTAAAAGAAAATTGGGGAAATATTTTTTTGACTCTTGGAGTCAAAATTCCAACATCAATGACACAATAATCAAACATAGTAATATACTACCTGCACATCCTTCTTCAAATTGAGCCATGAATGACTCAGCACAAGTAGTTGCAGCCAGTGAGAATCCTTCTCCAGCATTGAGAGCCTTTTCAAATGCGTCCTTGAATTTCTCAAAGGTTCCAGACCTTAGATGTCCCAATATAGTTTGATATGCTGGTTGTACAAGCTACATCATTATAAGAGACAAATTTAGAAACCATATCGAGGATTAACTACACATGTCATGTTCTCTTCTTAGCCCAAGCAAACGATTTAAGAGAAACCATTTTGGGTTACAAATCATTATCATGGATTATGATATTTTCTGGATCATTGCAAGTCAGCCCATTTAAGAACATGGGTCATTAGAGGTTAGATTAATTGTGGTTATGAATTATACGTACCATACTCAAATCTTGATCCTAGTACCACATATATGACAATTAGATCGACTCAGGTGGTTTCAAGGTTGGTCATTTCAGCTTACAAATCATTTTAAATTAAATCATTTCAATTAGTGGATCAATGAATTTCATATTAGTTCAAATTAGGATCACACGATTAAAATAAATTTAATTTGAACAAATTCATGTATTGAGTTCCATTCTAGCCATGAATTACCACATGTTTCTCTAATGCAACAAAATAATGAAAATCTAATTACTTGTAACAATTTTTCTTCAAGTTGCTTCCGCTTTGAAGATCGAACTCCTTCATCGAAATATGTTGCTTCACTGTCATACCTATATTGGAATGCACAATCAAAACAAACAACCAATATTATAAAAATCATGAAACAAAATTTAATACAAAAGACACAATGGATATGCAAAAAGGAATGTATTTTACCATTATTTCAAATGCGAATACACTTACTCTGTTAAGCAAATGTTCAGGATTGAACTTAGCTTCTTCCCAAAGCCCGGAACAAAACCACTTTGTACGGCCTCGTCCATTGCACACCATTCCTTCCAGTATCAAAGACCAATTTAACATAAGAACATGTAACTCTATAAATTTTCAAAAACAGGAATAGAACAAGAAGCGGCGCATTGGCTATTTACAGGATTTGCACCAAATTCAGCATACTTCTCATTGGCGATTTCTTCACAGCGCACAGTGGCAACCATAACCTAGGAAACAATATTTCCTAGAGACATTAGGTAAAAGAAATAGCAAGAAATAAGTTGGCTAATTTTCCATAACGATAAAAAAGGAAAGTACCTTATGCGCAGGAAGATCAAGGTCTTTGTTCTCTTTGATAATTTTCCATATTTGTTGTGAACTGAAAGAGAAACCTGAAGCAGGTACTGCACCTCGTCGATCACCAGCAAGTCCACCAGGTGCAATGGAATGAAAGAATCTTTGCCTCAAATTAGCGACCTATTTTCACCAAGATCATGTAACAGGAATTTTGTAACACTTTAAATTTGACCACCTAAAGAAGTCCCTATCAAATAGCCAGATAAAAAGTAAAACTAGGAATGTCACTTTTCACTGACCTGCTCTCTAAACTGCTCTTCCTTTTCTTCATAACTTGAAAGAGCAACAACCTCAACCTGACCAATGACAATAAATCAAGACATTGTTTTGTTACAATATATCCAAATGCTCTAAAGAATTTAAACCTAGGGAAAATTTTGTTTTGTGAATGATCGGTCTACATAGTGTGCTCTTACATTAAAAAACTCACTAAGAGGAGTTGACAAATGAGCCTGTGGCTTTGGAACAGAGTCCCATATCTGGAAGGGAGAAAATGGTCAGAGAGGCTAGCCCACGTGAAATATAGAAGTTAAAAATTAAGTATTGTTACCTTCTGGATATCTTCTCTCAAAACAGGTTCTAAGTTCTCCAAGGGTGTCTATCAAAGAAGTAAAATGAACAGGTTGACAAAAAAGAAAAAATAGCATATATATTTGGAAAGCAAAAATTAATCAAGAAGCCAGGACCATACCTTAGTTTTATCACGTATTACAAACATCAAAGTTGTTTTGCGAGGACTAAACAATCTCATCATGACCTAGAAACAAGACCAAATAGCACATGAGAGAGCTACTAAAGGCTAAAAACAGAAATAATGACAAGTAATAACAGTATATACAAGGGGTACCTGAAATACAGTCTTCAAAAGAGGCTTATTTGCAGCTTGTTCACGACCAATATCATGACACCACCTAAACAATGTGACTAGAAGATTTATTTCCAGAACTATAGCCAACAACTCATTAGGTACCCAAACAAACCTAGAGAAAAAATCTTACATGTTAATTAACACTATATCTGAAACGGCAAGGGCAAAGAGCGCACTCTGCTTCTCGAATGCTGTATCATCCTAAACAGAAGCAACATGGTCAATTAGTTTCTCCTTATAATGAAAATATGCTAAAATTATTATAAAAAAAACCTTATTGAAAGTTTCCCTCTCGAGCATTCTAACTTAAAAGAAATTATCTTAGTTTGTTTAAACTAACACGAATTTTTAGCAGTAACAACTTAAGTTTCGTGCTACTGAGTTAAGTCATTGAGAAAGAAATGCACCTCTCCACGTTCTCTTCCGTCGGTTCCTTCCAAATCCATTACTAGTGTACACGGTTCAATTCCGGTACAATGTGCGAGCCAAATACCTTTTGTAGTTTGAGACCTAAAAGAGAACCATCCCACCAAAGAATTCGGAATTATAGAAGATAATAAACTTAAGAGTAGAAAGATTCAAGTCATCCAACATAAATAAAAAGCAGCAAAAGAACATGCCTTCCTCTAAACGCATCCATCTCTCTGAAGTTTGTTTTGAACAAATTGTTCAATAGAGTGCTCTTCCCTGTCCAATTCGCAAAAAAGTAATAAAATTAGTGAAAGGTTGAGGAGGGAGAGAAAGATAAACAGGTTCTTTGAAAAACATTCATACCACTACTTTGTGGCCCCATGATCGAGACTACAGCATATGAGAGTCCACAATCCGCTAATTTAACCTCCTTTATGAAATTGTCTATTCCAGTGATATTAAACTCACCATCGCCATCAATAAGTTGTGTAGAGCAACATTCAGTAGCTAGCACAAATGAAATCCACACCGCTTAGAAACAAAAATATTGCATCCTAAAGTTGTATACATCAAACTTCAATGGAATTCAAAGTTTGCATTGAGAAAATTATTACTCCAACACAATACAAGAAAGGATAAATATTTATCTCTAAGAATTCCTAGAGTTATTATGCGGGCATGGTAGAGATGATGCAAATAAGGCAATGCATGAATCACTCTACATCCTTCCCCAAAAGTTACCAAAAAGTTAATGAAATTTCCTTCAAATATCTTATTTATGAGCAAGTCACCAATGATATAGTAGGATTTCGGATAAAAAAAAGCATCCATCTGTAACACAAAAATGAATTCAAGAACAAATAAATACATACAACGAACGATTCCATACATCTCTCCTTCAGTAAGGATATGAGAGATGAATTAAAAGTATCTCCCTATAACACATAGTACACATTAGCTATCAATCTCCGTCAATTATCAGCAGGACATTCTCTTGAAGAAGGGCGAGGAGATTAAAAAAGATTGAGATATTACCCATCAGAGCTGGAAGGACAATGGTGAAATCTAGATAGCCGAAATCTTGAGTATAGATCGATTGATGGAGAAAGTAGATGAAATATGGAAAAAAAGAGATCACAAAACCATAACTTGTTTCTCTAGATTTTCTTCTTTGCAAAATAATAATTGAATGAACTGAAAGTATGCTCAATTCAAACCATGTTTGAACAAAAAATGCAAACGTTTGCACCTTTTTGAGATTCTGAAAGTAAAAAAATGGATCGAAGAAACACAAAAAAATGTGTTTATCCTTTATTTCTTTTCCTAAAAAAGAAAATTAAGAAAAAGAAAGTTTGCCAAAATAAACAATAAGTCACTTTTACTTTTGCATAAATAACCTCACAAAATGAGAGGAGTTTGTTTACAATTCTTGGGTCCAATAAAAGGGTGTTAAAGTATCATTCTTGGTAGATCTACTACTAGCTCCCATTACAACAATCCACAACCAACTTCTTGGCCATTTGAATAATTTAAGTTGTTTTCTATATTTCCATGATCACAATCAGTTCAGTGGCTAGGTCGTTCAATTTTATATCCTTCCTTACTCGATGTCATCAATATTTTTCTAATTACAAACATGCACACTACAAAGACAACTTTGTCACCTATCAAAATTAATGACGGTCCAGAGACAAAGCAAGGAAAATAAAAACTACCAAAGACACCTAAACACATAGCTCGAATCCAAATCCTCTAACCCATCCTCGAAAATTCTGATGACATCTTGACTAGCCAAATTATAGATTCCACTTTGTCAAATAATTGAAATATCGTTGTGGGATATAAGAACTTTCACGAAATTACTAGGCTAATTTGAATGCGTAATTAACTTTAACCTGAGTGTTTCAGCATCATTAGGGAGCGAGAAATGTCGTTATGAGTCAAATTTCCCAAAAACCCTGATCTTCTAATTTTTTATTCTAATCGACGAATTTTTGGGTGGGTGATAAAAGACGCAGAAGAATTTAGAGGGAGAAAAGGAGTTAACTATAGCTTCAACGTCCAATCGACCACCATGTCCAACGATTAGCTACATCGCCAGTTCAATTGGGTGTTGTGGCTTCCCTAGGTCGACGAAGGAAACAGAGGGAAGTGGAAGTTCCAAGGTAAATTCAACAAAGGATAAAAACATAAAAAATGCGCATCCGGGGAATCGAACCCCGGTCAGTACCGTGGGAGGGTACTATGATACCACTACACTAGGTGCGCCTAATTATTGATTGTTTGTAGGAATAAATTGCATATATTCAATCATTCAGTTTATCTGTTTTTTCAAATAAAGAGCATTACAGATAGGACGGTTTCTTGGTAATGATTGATAACAACGTAGTCAAAATCGCATTTCAAAACAAAAAAACATATGCATTTATGGTTTTAGGTCACCAAAACACTTCTATGCATAAATGCAGTTTTATGACTAATGTAGTTAAAAACTATGCTTTAAAGCTTAAAAGTTTATGATTTTACTCTTCTAGATCACTGAAACGCATTTACGTAGAAACACACTTTTGACTATGATTGATAATCAAAAGATCTTTTTAACTTGTCAGTAGTTTTCATGGATTATATCTATAATATTTTTCTCTGGTTAAATAATTAGGAATAACTAGCTTCTGCCCACTCAAGTTAGGCAAGAATAGCCCTCGACCCTTTGTCTTTAATAGTCTCGGGTGCTCTTCTCAATACAGTTCTTTAGGCCTGACTCGGCATAGTTCACCACGTTCATCTTCTCTTGTAACATCCCGTTCCGGCAAAACCCATTTTTCGATCGCTAGAAAGTTCGCGATTTAAAATCGAGCATTTCGACACTATTTTGACGAAAATCGGATTATCGATCGATCGGATAAGTATACGTATTAATTATATATATATATATATATATATATATATATATATATAAAGTGGCCGGTCCATTTTCTTTCCTCTCATCATCGTTTCATTCTTTCTATTTCTCCACCGAGAGAAGTAAAAACCTTAGCGACCAGAGCCGCGCACAGGGGAAGTCCTGTGAAAATTTCTCAGCTCAAATCTTGAGCCCTAGTGATCCAAAAATCCCGTAAGTAATGCCTAATTCATCTATACATCGTGATTTATCGATTTAGAGCTTTAAAACGAGTTTTTGGTTCAGGAATTTCTTGAATTCCCGATCTGCCAAATTAGGGTTTCGGAGTATCCGGAAGCCGGATTGAGCCCAAATTTCATATACGAGCTTCCTGCAGCGAGGTAATCAATCCTCTAGTTCTAATCCCTGAATTTCGGCAATTATTTAGGCCGGGGTCCAAACCGCTGAATTTAGCTCCGACCAGGGTTTGATGTGTTTTTATCGAGAATTTGACCCGGAGCCTAGAACTAATATTGACGGGGATACTGCAGGGGATATTAGGACGGTCTCGGATTTTAATTCGGGGTTCGTTCCTGAAATTGACGTTTTAGTACGGGAAGGTTAAACCGGTGTTTGAACGACCAGAACTGGTGAGGGATTAGCACGGCATACCGGGTTTGTCGTATCACGATAATTATATTGATGCTTAGAATTGATCTAGGTGAACTAGAATGGCATGATTAGGGGTGTATGAGCTTTTGTGCTATATGTTGAACCCTGGATTGCTGTATGATATTATTGACTTGCCCTAATCGATATGAACCTTGTTTATGCTGATGATTGTGTATATATTGCAAATTGTGGGCTTGACTGTTAATATGCTTTACGATGGTTCGAGAAGGTGATTAGGTATGATTTTTCATGATTGTTGTATTTGGATGCACAAGTGGGAAAATATATATTCCTTGGTGATATTATGATGTTTAAGGAGGATGACTTGCACGAGGGTTCATCCCGAGGAAGTGCAATTATAAGACTCCTGATTTACCTATGTTGAGCCAATTATGGCCAGGTCAAGTACATGTGTAAGTAATGAATTATGGTTAAGCAAGATGAGATATGAATCATGTACAAGGATACCAAATATGAATGTTGTGGTCTCACGGTCAATTACGTAGTAATTAGGGCTCCCTATGCTATTACTCTATTATGATATGTATGATAGTCACACCTCTCATGTGGTGGTGACTGAAGAATTTTTATGAGATATGACCACACCCAGAGCGGTGTCGGGGTATGACTACACCCATAGTGGTGTGGGGTATGTATGACCACATCCGACGGGATGTTGGGGTATGTATGACTACATCCGACGGGATGTGGGGTATGTTTCCCGGGAGAGTTATTAGCATGGGAGTAGCCAGGCGCCTATGATTAAAACATGATAAGATGCATATGCATAAGTCAAGGTGGTTGAGTCTTTTGCCTATTGGGATGTCGGAGGGCTGAGATCTGATCCTAGTGTTTTGGCTTGTTTGCTAGATGTATGGTAGGGGTATGCTCTGTTATGAACTCACGATGCTATGATTATCTCACTCAGCTATGAGCTGACCCTCTTTTATTCTTCTTCTCTGCTTATGCTATGTGTAAGTAGATAGGTGTATAGGTGGGAGCTGAGCAAGAGTTGAAGGCAAGATGAGGTATGGTCTTCAACCATTCTGTGCTTGGACTACTACTCGGGATTTTGGCCAGTGATCCACACCTTTTTGTAAAAATGTTTTGAGAACGTTTTTCATGTGCATACTAGCTTCTGATGTAGTGTGAGATATCCACAGGTGTGGAAAGTTAATGATATGTGTATATGTTGTGTAACTGTGTAAGTTGTGACGATTATGCTATGTATAAGTATGGTATGCAGTTAGGAAGTATGAAAAGTGTGACTATGGCTAAGAAAAGCCAATGCATATGGTTGTGAGTATATATGTTTGTGATGAATTATTTTGCAGGATAAGTTGCAAGAACTGTTAGCCCATTACGCGAGTAATTCATGTCGAAATTTTATTTGGGTAAATTTTGATAATTAATGTAACACCCGAGATTATTTCCGCTGCAATTGTATGAACAATATGATTAGGCAAAACGTATAGGGTAGGGTGTTACAGTTTGGTATCAGAGCCCGGTTCCCTCTTTTTGTTGTTATGGCGTACTATACCCTATGGGAGGTTAAACACTCCTAAGGAGGGGAGTGCCCCATAATGACTTAAACTGGGAATTGAGTTTGACATGATTATGTGTATTGGTATATTGGATGAAATTATCTGCACCATGGTTTTCAAAATTGAGTTTTGAATGTATTTGTTTTCAAGTAATTATTTAGGGAAAATTTTGTTTTAACCAAGTGAGAGATTTGGTGAAGAATGAATTTTGTGTGGATCAATCTAAGGCCAATATTTCCTTGTAGCTCGCACGGAAGTTGTGAAAATGTTCCTACTGACCAGTCGAGAGGAGTGGGGGCGGTTGATGCAAGACCGCCAGTATTAGATTATGCAAAGATGAAGAGTTTGGGTGGTAGGGACTTTAAGGGAGATGTGAGCCCAGATGCTGTAGTAGAGTGGTTGAGAGAGATGGAAGATGTGTTTGAATATCTTTATGCAACCCCAGAGGAAAAAGTGCAATATGTTGTTTTTCTCCTAAAGGGGTATGCGAGGAGCTGGTGGTCCTCAGTCTCTAGAGTTAATGGTGAACGAGTTCAGTTCACCTGGGAGGAGTTTCTGAAGGCCTTTAAGACAGAGTTTCTTCCCGAAGCTTTTATCAGGGCAAAGAACAATGAATTTTCCAACCTTAAGCAGGAGAATATGACAGTTACTGAGTACACCATCAAGTTTGTTCGACTGCTTTACTTTGAGGATGGGTTGGCGGATACTGAGCATAAGAAGAAGATGAGATACTTGCATGGTCTGCGCATAGGATTGAAAGAAAAGATCCACAGGGTTGATGAAGAGAGCATGGCCACAATCAAGGAGGCAGCACTTAAGTATGAAGCCTATGAAGTTGAGAGCCGAGAGGAACACAAGGCCAAAGAAGAGGAGAAGAAGAGGAAGTTTGGAATAAATTATGCTGGACCTCGTTACCCACCCAGGAGAGGTCCTAGCAGTTTTGGGAGAACACCAAGTCAATCTATGTCGGGAACATCATACAGGGCACCAATATCCTCAGCCACACAATTTCCATTTTGTCAAGTTTGTCAGAAGAGGCATATTGGAGAGTGTAGGAGATTTTCTGGTGTATGCTTTCACTGTGGCCAACCTGGGCACATCATGAGGGATTGCCCGCATGCGAGAGAAGTAAGAGCTACACAGTCCGAGCCTTCAGTGCAAATGAGTAGAGCCCCATTCAGGGGTGGTTACCAGGGAGGCCGTAGTGGATTTCAGAGTGGTCGTGGTGGTTCACAGGGTGGTAGAGGTGGTGGTCGAAATCAGCCATCAGGAAGTGGTACGCAGGGTACCAGAGCACAGGGAGCACCGAGGGTTTATGCAATGACTCGAGGTGAGGCAGAAGTGGCACCAGAAGTTGTGACTGGTATGCTTTCTATCCTTGGCAAGCAATTATATGCTTTGATCGATACTGGTTCCTCTCACTCATTCATGTCATATACGTTTGCACATATGCTACGTTTAGTTCCAGATAAGCTAGGCTATACCTTATGTGTTAAAACACCTGTGGGAGATACCTTGAAGGTAGACTCAGTTATTAGAAGTTCCTTCATTTGTGTGGAAGGAGCTTTCCTAGCAGCAGATTTAATTCTGCTACCTTTTGATGAATTCGATGTCATCCTTGGAATGGACTTTCTGGCAACACATGGAGCTGTTGTGGATTGTCAAAAGAAAGAAGTGTTATTCAGCACACCAGATAAAGGTCCTGTTGTATTCCGAGGCATTAAGAAAAAGGAGACTCATGGTTTTCTTTCTGCCTTGGAAGCTTTTCGATTAGTGAAGGAAGGTTGTGAAGCCTTTCTTGCTCAAGTTACTATAGTAAATGATAAGAAGGTTGAGGATGTAGAGGTGGTAAGGGAATTTCCTGATGTATTCCCCGAAGAACTTCCCGGCCTTCCACCAGAAAGGGAAGTAGAGTTTGATATTGAATTGGTACCTGGCACAACACCAATTTCAATGGCACCATATAGAATGGCACCAATTGAGCTGAAGGAGCTTAAAGAACAATTGCAAGAATTGTTAGACAAGGGGTTTATTCGACCTAGCATCTCACCTTGGGGTGCACCGGTTTTGTTTGTCAAGAAGAAAGATGGTTCCATGAGAATGTGCATTGACTACCGGAGGTTGAATAAGGCGACAGTGAAGAATCGTTATCCCCTTCCAAGAATAGATGATTTGTTTGATCAATTGCAGGGTGCATCAGTCTTTTCTAAGATTGATTTGAGATCTGGATACCATCAATTGAAAGTGGCAGATGGAGCAACCTCAAAAACAGCTTTTAGAACAAGATATGGGCATTATGAGTTCCTGGTAATGCCTTTTGGACTCACTAATGCACCAGCGGTATTTATGGCTCTTATGAACAGAGTTTTCCATGAATATCTTGATAAGTTTGTGATTGTGTTCATAGATGATATTCTCATCTATTCTAAAAGCGAGGAGGAGCACAAAACTCACCTTAGAATTGTGTTGCAAATTCTAAGGGAGAAACAATTATATGCAAAATTCTCAAAATGTGAGTTTTGGCTGAAGGAGGTAATATTTCTGGGACATGTAATTTCTGGAAGAGGTGTCGAGGTGGATCCGAAAAAGGTGGAAGCAGTGGTGAGTTGGACTCCACCAAAAGATGTGTCGGAGTTGAGAAGTTTTCTTGGCATGGCTGGTTATTATCGGCGGTTCGTAGAAGGATTTTCTAAAATTGCTGCACCATTGACTAAACTGTTGAGGAAGAATACTAAGTATGTTTGGGATGAATCATGTCAAAAGAGTTTTGATGAACTGAAAAAGAGATTGACCACAGCACCAGTACTTGCACTACCTTCAAGTCAAGGAGAGTTTGTGGTGTATAGTGATGCCTCGTATCAAGGATTGGGCTGTGTGTTAATGCAAGATGGAAGAGTTATCGCATATGCCTCTAGGCAATTGCGTCCTCATGAAGTAAATTATCCAACTCATGACTTAGAATTGGCAGCGGTGGTATTTGCTCTCAAGATTTGGCGACATTATTTGTATGGTGAGACTTTTAAAATTCTAACTGATCACAAAAGCTTGAAGTATATTATGGATCAGAAGGATTTAAATAGTCGCCAGAGGAGATGGATAGAGTTGTTGAAAGATTATGATTGTACCATTGATTACCATCCAGGTAAAGCTAATGTAGTTGCTGATGCTCTGAGCAGAAAGGGGAAGAAGAATATAAATGATCTGGTTGATTTGAGGGCAATGAATGTTGATTTGGAAGTGGATGGTGTAACAGGGTTACTAGCTCGGTTGAACATTCGACCTTTGTTGCACGACAAAATTCGTGAGAAGCAGAAGGAGGACCCAGAGTTGGCAAAAATCATTCAAGACATTGAGGAAGGAAAAGAAAGCCCATTTGAAATGGTAGATGGCATGTTGAAGATTAATGGAAGAGCATGTGTTCCTAATGTTGATAACTTGAGGAAAGAGATCCTAGATGAAGCTCATTCTTCTGCTTATGCTATGCACCCAGGAGCAACTAAAATGTATCACACGATCAAACCATATTTTTGGTGGCGTGGGATGAAAAAGGAAGCGGCTGAACATGTTTTCACATGTCTAGTATGTCAGAAAGTTAAGGCAGAACATCAAGCTCCTGTGGGAAAACTGCAACCACTTCCAATTCCAGAATGGAAGTGGGAAAGAATCACAATGGATTTTGTATATGGTCTCCCATCATCAAGGGGAAAAGATGCAGTATGGGTTATTGTGGACCGACTAACCAAATCGGCTCACTTTTTACCCATTAGATGGAAACCATCACTGGAGATTTTGTCTCAACTATATATTAAGGAGATCGTCAGATTGCATGGTGTGCCAATTTCTATTGTCTCTGATCGAGACCCAAGCTTCACATCTCGATTTTGGCAAAGTTTACATGATGCCTTGGGAACTAAACTGCATTTTACTTCAGCTTATCATCCTCAAACAGATGGGCAGAGTGAACGAACCATCCTAACTTTGGAGGAATTACTTCGATCATGTGTAATGCAATGGGAGGAATCATGGATTGACCATTTGCCCCTGATTGAGTTTGCTTACAACAATCAGTACCATAGTAGTTTGGGTGTCCCACCATATGAAGCACTTTATGGGAGAAAATGTAGAACACCATTATGTTGGGATGTAGAAGGAGCAAGGCAAATCTCAGGGCCAGAGATAGTTCAGATCACAGTTGATAAGGTCAAGGAAATCAGGGAGCGATTGAGGGTGGCTCAAGATCGACAGAAAGTTTATGTTGACACGAGTAGGCGTGAAGTTAATTTCGAAGTGGGTGAGAAAGTATTTCTCAAAGTGTCACCATGGAAAGGGGTGATGAGATTTGGTAAGAAAGGAAAGCTTGCACCTCGGTATATTGGTCCCTATGAAATCACAGAGAAGATTGGACCAGTGGCTTATAAGTTGGCATTGCCTCCAGAACTATCTCAAATCCACAATGTATTTCATGTGAGTATGCTGAAGAGGTACAAAGTGGATCCTTCCCATGTTATACAACCAGAAGAGATCGAGTTGGGTTCAGATTTGACATTTGAAGAGGTTCCAGTTGAGATTATTGATTACCAGATTAAGAATCTTCGTAGGAAGGAAATCCCAATGTTGAAAGTGGTTTGGAGAAATCAAGAAAGTGAGAGTGCTACCTGGGAGACTGAAGCAAGTATGCGAGAGAAGTACCCTGAGTTAGTAGCAACCTACTTTGAAGGTTAACAATCTTGCTTAATAAGTTATGTTTTGAACTTGTTGATGTGCTTTTGTTGTGATAGCCCAGTATAGGTTTTTGAAACCTAAACATGGGAACTTGAGGTGTTATGTGTTACTTTCTATGTTATGAATTGCCTGACCTAAGAGTTAGGTAATGACTTTATGTATGATAGATCATGTTAAGGGTTAGTAAGAGGAGTTAGAGTACGACTCAAGGTTAGATTTCGGGGACGAAATCTTTTAAGGAGGGGAGAATTGTAACATCCCGTTCCGGCAAAACCCATTTTTCGATCGCTAGAAAGTTCGCGATTTAAAATCGAGCATTTCGACACTATTTTGACGAAAATCGGATTATCGATCGATCGGATAAGTATACGTATTAATTATATATATATATATATATATAAAGTGGCCGGTCCATTTTCTTTCCTCTCATCATCGTTTCATTCTTTCTATTTCTCCACCGAGAGAAGTAAAAACCTTAGCGACCAGAGCCGCGCACAGGGGAAGTCCTGTGAAAATTTCTCAGCTCAAATCTTGAGCCCTAGTGATCCAAAAATCCCGTAAGTAATGCCTAATTCATCTATACATCGTGATTTATCGATTTAGAGCTTTAAAACGAGTTTTTGGTTCAGGAATTTCTTGAATTCCCGATCTGCCAAATTAGGGTTTCGGAGTATCCGGAAGCCGGATTGAGCCCAAATTTCATATACGAGCTTCCTGCAGCGAGGTAATCAATCCTCTAGTTCTAATCCCTGAATTTCGGCAATTATTTAGGCCGGGGTCCAAACCGCTGAATTTAGCTCCGACCAGGGTTTGATGTGTTTTTATCGAGAATTTGACCCGGAGCCTAGAACTAATATTGACGGGGATACTGCAGGGGATATTAGGACGGTCTCGGATTTTAATTCGGGGTTCGTTCCTGAAATTGACGTTTTAGTACGGGAAGGTTAAACCGGTGTTTGAACGACCAGAACTGGTGAGGGATTAGCACGGCATACCGGGTTTGTCGTATCACGATAATTATATTGATGCTTAGAATTGATCTAGGTGAACTAGAATGGCATGATTAGGGGTGTATGAGCTTTTGTGCTATATGTTGAACCCTGGATTGCTGTATGATATTATTGACTTGCCCTAATCGATATGAACCTTGTTTATGCTGATGATTGTGTATATATTGCAAATTGTGGGCTTGACTGTTAATATGCTTTACGATGGTTCGAGAAGGTGATTAGGTATGATTTTTCATGATTGTTGTATTTGGATGCACAAGTGGGAAAATATATATTCCTTGGTGATATTATGATGTTTAAGGAGGATGACTTGCACGAGGGTTCATCCCGAGGAAGTGCAATTATAAGACTCCTGATTTACCTATGTTGAGCCAATTATGGCCAGGTCAAGTACATGTGTAAGTAATGAATTATGGTTAAGCAAGATGAGATATGAATCATGTACAAGGATACCAAATATGAATGTTGTGGTCTCACGGTCAATTACGTAGTAATTAGGGCTCCCTATGCTATTACTCTATTATGATATGTATGATAGTCACACCTCTCATGTGGTGGTGACTGAAGAATTTTTATGAGATATGACCACACCCAGAGCGGTGTCGGGGTATGACTACACCCATAGTGGTGTGGGGTATGTATGACCACATCCGACGGGATGTTGGGGTATGTATGACTACATCCGACGGGATGTGGGGTATGTTTCCCGGGAGAGTTATTAGCATGGGAGTAGCCAGGCGCCTATGATTAAAACATGATAAGATGCATATGCATAAGTCAAGGTGGTTGAGTCTTTTGCCTATTGGGATGTCGGAGGGCTGAGATCTGATCCTAGTGTTTTGGCTTGTTTGCTAGATGTATGGTAGGGGTATGCTCTGTTATGAACTCACGATGCTATGATTATCTCACTCAGCTATGAGCTGACCCTCTTTTATTCTTCTTCTCTGCTTATGCTATGTGTAAGTAGATCATCAGCAACAGCAGTAGATAGGTGTATAGGTGGGAGCTGAGCAAGAGTTGAAGGCAAGATGAGGTATGGTCTTCAACCATTCTGTGCTTGGACTACTACTCGGGATTTTGGCCAGTGATCCACACCTTTTTGTAAAAATGTTTTGAGAACGTTTTTCATGTGCATACTAGCTTCTGATGTAGTGTGAGATATCCACAGGTGTGGAAAGTTAATGATATGTGTATATGTTGTGTAACTGTGTAAGTTGTGACGATTATGCTATGTATAAGTATGGTATGCAGTTAGGAAGTATGAAAAGTGTGACTATGGCTAAGAAAAGCCAATGCATATGGTTGTGAGTATATATGTTTGTGATGAATTATTTTGCAGGATAAGTTGCAAGAACTGTTAGCCCATTACGCGAGTAATTCATGTCGAAATTTTATTTGGGTAAATTTTGATAATTAATGTAACACCCGAGATTATTTCCGCTGCAATTGTATGAACAATATGATTAGGCAAAACGTATAGGGTAGGGTGTTACATCTCTTTTCGCTTTTATATTTAAAATGTTCATCTTCTCCTTTCTCTTTAATATTTAAACCGTAGTCTATGATTGCTCTCCTTAAAACTCGACCGGTAGGTTTGTTCGATAGGATATGAAGTAGTTTGAACAAAGTGAGAAGTTATAATATTTCCGGAAAATTTTCATTCCTTATTATTCAATAATTTAATTTATTTTTCATCGTTGATCATTGTTCGTCCATTTCATTAAGTTCTTCCTACGTTGCAGTCAAATGTACCATTTGATTGTTAGATAGATAATATAACAATTAAATAAGGAATAAGTTCTAGTACAAAATCCATTATATTTATATTTATATTTATATTTACAGTACTAAAAAACAAGAAAGTTATAATTTGGGAAGGATAGATTTAATGGTCCATATCTTAAAGGGATAAGAAGGGAAATAAGAGATTAGGGGAGAGCTAACTGGAATTTTTGGGCAGCTGGCCGGAATTTTTTGGGGTTGGCGTGGATTCTCAGGCCTGCTGTTAAAAAACTTTCCAAATATTTTTTGAAAATTCAACGGAGCACAATTCTTTCATCTTACATCGAATTCCAAAAAAAAAATTGCGTAAAAATATTAAATTTTTTGTGCTCTATAAGATGATATCAATGTTAATATTTTTTGGAGAAAAACTTTTCACATCATCTTACAACTATCAAATTATGATATTATCACTCTAATAATATCACGATATGACAACGGTATAATGATGTTGTCCACCTTACCATAATGGTAAGATCAAAATAATAAGATGGGTTTATGATTGATGTGATTCCCGCCCGCCAGTGTAGAAGAGGAGACTCGGCCGGAATTGTCAATTCCCCGACTGGGGAAGTGGGGGAAGTAACCAGGGATTTTGATCAGGAGAGCCCCCGACCAGTGATGTTAAATCCCCGATCGGGTATTAGACCGAGGATTTGGCCCTACCGAATTTTGTTACCTTTTTCAGTTAGGATTCTTTTTCCTTTTTGATGTTTTCATTAGTTTTATTTTCCATACCTATTTAAAGGGTCCTAAGACAGGAATTTGAGGAGATTATTGAGACTTCGATTATTTGGAGAAAAAAATTTTGTTCATGAGCGTCTTGCTTGTGAATTTTGTCCTTGTTTGTTGGTGGATCTCCAACATTGGAGCGAGCTCTATATCAATCAAGTAACCAGGCTAATTGTGGTCAAGTTGCTACCCATTATATTGTCCGAGCCTCTTCCCGATTCTGTGTTGAAGTTGCACGGCAATTCCGTCTTATCCTTTACTTTTCAAGCTGTTGAGATAAAATATCAGTAAAAACCCTAATAAGACCAAAGTTGTGCGAATTTGACCAAAGAACCTAAGTTTTCACGAGCTCGGGATATTATCAATGATATTTTACCATGTTGGTATGACAGTGGTAAGATAATATGAATTCTTATCTTTGCTGGAAAAAATGATGTTGTCGTATCATGATAGTATCATGTTATCATAGTGATACATCATGATATGATAGTGATAGTGATAGTGATAGTGATTGTGGTTGTGGTTGTGGTTGTGGTTGTGGTTGTGGTTCTGAAAAGGGAAAAATAGCTTCTTTTTTTTTTTTGCAAGAGAATAAAAACTGAAAAATCTCAAAAAAGAGTTTGTGGTTGTGAAGGCAAATTTTCTTAAAGGGTATGTCAAGTTGATTGTAGAAGCATTCAAAATTTGAAAATGTGTATCAATAGCTTCACCCTTACGCTTTGAGACTCTAATGCATGATTAGGTATTTATGTGTGGATTTGATTGCATGATGTTCTTGCACATAGATGTGGTTAGAATTCTCTCGTGATATTATTGACCTTGTAAGTTACTTATAATCCACTACCTAAGATCGAGATCGAGTGATGTTCTTTGGTTTTCACTGAGTTGTATGATTGTGAGTAGTGTTTCCTTGTAGAAAAAAAAGTTAAAGTGTGGGTATTTCTGATGACACTTTATGTATAGTGTTTATCACTCCCATTCTTGATACATTCCCCTTATATAAATGCATCATTAGTGGTTTTGATTATATTTCATATATAATTCATAACTATCTGGATAATGTGCTTATGATAGACCTTGAGTGTGGTTTTGTACTATTTGATGTCTTATTGTGTTCTTTTGTGATTTTCAAGGAGATAATGCTCTCAAGACGAATTTGGGTCACCTAGGTACCCGATGTATCAAAAGGAGGACGAAAATACAAGTTCATGGGATCAAATGTAGATGGATTGGGACATTGGATGCTCACTTTATGGTCAAAACAAGCAAATCTGGTAATGCAACATGCTCGACTTTGACCAATGCCCATCAGATATTTTCCTACTAGTCTACGCTCTAGAGGAGGAGTTACTAGGAACACACGCTACCAATCCCATTTGGAAAATAAGAATCGGGTACTAGCAACGTAGGGTCACCGCTCAAATCCTAATCCTTCAGGAAACTTCCTTGGGAAGTTACCCTGTCCCCAAGTCGATCGAATTCGAGTTCAAGTCGGATAAGGAAGGATTTTATTGACTTTAGGAGGATAAATATTAGAAAACCCCCTTCTGAAACTAGTATAAATACGAGGTCGGGCTTGAACTTTTACATACACATTTTACCAGCACCCTATCCTAGGGCACGAGTAGCAATCCATAGATAGATAGGAAGCAAAACTCTGCGGGAATTCTTCGAGAAAGCAGTCACCATTAATGCATGTATCAATAATGATGTTGCTCTAATTGTCTATATATTTCTAGTATATATGTTTAGGGGTGTGAAATATATTATGCTTATCTATTACTTTCTATGAGTTAATAAGATGTTATCGCGTTTTATGTTATGATCATCGATGTCTATTCCTTTAGATGCTTTATTATATTCGCAATGCCTTAATCATCTCTTGTGTATGATCATGATGCTTTATATCATTTGATGTTTAATTACTATATGTATATGAATCTATTATGAGTGCTACTATATGCATTGTTTATACTACTATCATGAGAAACAAGGAAACTAATCTCGTGTAGTAGGAATCCTTCTTAGGCGTGTATGGGAGGACTAGCTACCCTTCTATGCATGAATAAGGATGATGCTTGATTCTATAGACCATTGATTATGACTCGTAGAGGCTCACACAAAATCATGTGTTATCCTAACTTCTTTTTTCTTGGTTGATTAGGTAATGGCATGAAGCGAAAGCACACACTAGCTAGTCAAATCTGTATCGAGAGAGTCGCATGCACGGGTAGAGAATCTCCTTAGAGTAAGGGATGAGGTATCATAATAGATGATGCATAGATGCATCTTTTTGAGGAGAATGAATGCATGATCATCTAGAAAGCACTACATGAACATTAGTTTTCATTGTTTGCTTTCATCTTTGCATTATTAGTAGTAACTCAACATAAAGCACCTCAACCCATTGCATTAGGTTATGTTTGAGTAGTTACTATCAAAATAACTCGTGGACTATAACCCTAAGCAGATCTAGGATTATCACTTGTGTTTTCTACATCACGACTCCCTTGCAGAGAAACTGAGAGTTCCATCATCACACTCTATCTGCGGCCCTCTATCATCTGCATGGATCGGGCCTAAAGTTTTATGAGACAAGCTGGCCAACTTACACCAAGCCCTCTAGACCATACTTTCAGAAAAATATGGTCGGTTCAATCTGATTTTCTGTACTTCTGACATGACCTACTCCCTCTGTCGTTTCCTCCATTTTTTTGGTTGATTAAGCATTTTTTATCACCCAAGGGAGTGTAGAGATCAAGTTATTATGCTGGAGATGACTCTCTTACAAGCCATTATGGAAGATAGGTGGCTTATCCTAGGTTGGATCCTTGCGTAAGCCTTTAGGAGGATGGGCAATGCGGCACATTGAACGCAACTTTCCATAGGTGGCTTCATCGCCATAATCGCTAACCACATTCATAGTAATCCTACTATGGGAGAGCGGGCCCTTTGGGATAGGTGGGGTGGAATCAAGATCTTTTTTCGTACCTCTGCCCGACTAATCATACCAAGACAAATCATGAACAATAGTGTCAATCTCAGCCAACTCAGTTGTTCCTCGTTTGCGGATTGGACAAATAATAACAAGGAACTTCCACCTCTCGGTCCAACTGTAGGCAACACACTTCCTGGCTTCACCTCCACAGTGGTCAATAAATTTTCAGAGCCTCTATGTAACACCTTAGGCAAATCCCACATCGACAAAGCACGGAAGAGATCCATGGTTCATAAGTGAGAAACCGACTTTAACTGACAAGACGCGTTTTGGTTTGTAATGGAGGAGTTCTTGTGAGAACTCCGAAGTTAAACGTGCTCAGTGTGGAGTACAACAAGGATGGGTGACCTTATGGGAAGTCACCTTGAATTGCACCCCAAGTCAAAAACCGTGAGGGTCGAGGTCCAAAGCGGACAATATCTTCGTCGGAAAAGGTTCGGGTGTTACAAGTGGAATCAGAGTCTCTTCGCGTCCCTCTTGAATGATGGTGGGGAAAACCTCAACGAGGGTGTTGAGTCCCAAGGGGGAGGGGGTGTATGTTACACTTTAGGCAAATCCCACATCGACAAAGCACGGGAGAGATCCATGGTTCATAAGTGAGAAACCGACCTTTACTAACTAGACGCGTTTTGGGGTATAATGGAGGAGTTCTTGTGAGAACTCCGAAGTTAAACGTGCTCAGTGTGGAGTACAACAAGGATGGGTGATCTTATGGGAAGTCACCTTGAATTGCACCCCAAGTCGAAAACTGTGAGGGTCGAGGCCCAAAGAGGACAATATCTTCGTCGGAAAAGGTTCGGAGTGTTACACTCTACCTCCTGGCTCTGTTGGTGAGCTTCTTGCTTCGTTGGAGCGCATCGAATGTAATCAAGTGGACATCGTCACCAAGACTAGTGAGGTGGGCAACTTCTCTCAGACGCAGTGGAATCACCTAAATAGTTGGATGCAAGGATTGAAGCACTACAAGACTGGAACAACCTGTCATGTTGAATGGAAGATGTAGATGATGGCGTCTATGTTGCCGCCCGACCTCCAGGTCACCTTTAAAACCACCACCTCGATGGAGATTTGCATGGATGATATTCCGGATTCAGATACCAAGACTCATTCACCCCATGTGGGTGTTGAGGAAGTTTTTCCTTCTTTGTCTTTTTTTTTCCTTTTGTTTGTGTTGAGAAGGATCAACGCTTGTTTTCCCTTCGTTTTGTGAATTTTTGCTTTTTACTTTTTGTGGGATGTTATTCATGTATTTCATTCCTTTTATGTTTGATTGTTGCTTCCCTTATCTCGAATTTGACTCTGCTCTTTTCTGGATCATGAGGACATGACCCTTTTAAAGTGTAAGGTGGCTCTCGAATCTAGACTGCTCCTCACACGTCTGCCGTTTTTTGTGTGCACTTACTTTGTATAATGTCACACTCCCCAAAAGAGTTCTCGAGCTCATCTTACTTTGAATGGATAGTCTCATAATTTAGATTGACCTAGGAAGGAAAGTGTATCTTGTCACAAGGCTATTGATCATTCAAATGTGATGATACAATATTTCACTATCCGCGGTGAGTTTTCATGCTCCATGAAACGAGTATTCTACTCATAAAAGCAAAAAAGAGGTCAAAGTGTATCTTTACATATTCAAAACTCCCACCATGACAAAGCAAAATAAAAGACGTTATTGTCAAAAATTAAGTCTAGGGTAAATCCATGTGTGAGGCAATCACTCATTGCATTGAGAGAATAGGAAAGGTTTGATCAAGCATCAGGTCGCGCCCGTACAATGTCACTTATCGATTACAATCCCTCGCCGAGTGAAGTTTCATTTGAGAATTGTTCTTGAAAGGCACGCATAGAGCTTTTGAAACCCCTTGTTCGCATTGCCTATCCACATGGATGGAGGAAAAGGAGTTAAACGAAGCCCTTACGCAAGTGCTAAGGTGCGGAAATTATTCTTGCTTGATCAAGGCTAGGAATAAACCCACTTGTGTTACAAAAAGTACAAAGACGACATGCTACGTACAAAAGAGAGGTCAAAACCTCTTATTTTTTTATGGGGGAAACCCGCCTACATGCCTAGAAAGAGCTACCAAAGCTTCGACCCAAAATCTCGACAAGACTTGAAGGATAAGAAAGCTTGCAATCAGGTAAAGATAAGCAAGATTATCTACAAGACATGCACTTCATGCATATGATCTAGCCGCTAAGTGTGAGAGTTGATGTTGTAAGCTACTTATGATTGACTTGTCCCGAATATCACAACAAAACCCCCCCCAATTAAGGCCCAAGTATAAACCTTAACTGGGTGCAATATAGGGCAAGTATGTTTTAAAAGTCAACCCCAGGCCGGTCCATGTATCCCTACTTCGATTGTTTAAAACATTATCTAACAATTGGTTTTTGGTTAAAACTAATTTTTATGACTAAAACAATTAGTTCAGACAGCCAAATTACAACCTACAAAAGGTGTTAATACGTATTAAGAGGTTTGCCATAATTTAACCTAGGTAGGTGACACAATTAGCCGAGGAATTCCAACTTTTACAAGCCTCTTAACCATAAGGGGATTTTCCTCTACCTAGGTTAAAATGGCATAAGAATCATAAGAATTGGAAATGCAAGAACACACACAATCTTCATGAAAATACCTGATAACTTGTATTAAAACACAACCACACACAAGACATTAAATCCATACAAACATTCACATAATTGTAGCTAGGGTTTACAAACAGCCAAGTGAAAGAAAGGTCTATTCCATGCTAAGTAGAAGGAAAACACAAGGGAGAAGAGAGAAAATCATCTTGGAGATGTTTGTCTTCTTCCTTGTGGTGTGGAGATCAACCTTTGAGGAAGAACTTCCCAAAACCTAGCTCTTGGATGAAAACCTAACTTCTCTTCTCCTCTTTTTCGTCATTTTCCTCTCTATAAATCTAAAGAAGAAGAAGAAGAAGAAGAAGAAGAAGAAGAAGAAGAAGAAGAAGAAGAAGAAGAAGAAGAAGAAGAAGTCTCTCCCACTAGGTTCCTCCTCTCTTTTCTCTTTCAGCTCATCCCCCTTTCTATACCCAGAACGACGGCGTTTCACGTTCTAGTTCGTGGCAACGAACATCTGGCCCGGACCATGATGTCAAGCAAAACGCTCTGCTTCATTAAGGGAGTTCATGGTCTGTAGCTGGTCTTCACGGTCAAGTGACCGTGAATTGGTTTATGGCCGCGAGATGGACAAACCCTTCTGGACTCTCCGCTCTTCTCGGTATATGCCTCCTCTTCATGGTATGGATGACCGTGAACTGCTGGCCTCCATCGTGATCTGGTGCTGTTGCTCCCTTTTGACCTGTTTCCACCCCTTTTCGTCCAACTTTTATTCCATGGGTTGGTTTCACCTGCTAGGATCTAAAACATACTAAAATCAACCACAACCTAGCGTAAAACAGAACCTCACGGACGAAAAGAGGTCAAACATCTAAGGATAAAAGGGGGCAAAATGTGTACAAATAGACTCGAATCAATGATCCACTTCCTACGATCAAAAGTCACGTGTCATCATGAAGATCTAGTGAGTTGTATGATTATGAGTAAAGTTTGCTTGGGGACAAACAAAGTTCAAGTGTGTGGTTATTTGATAACTCGTAGAAAGTACTATTTTGAGCCTCATTTCTTTGGACAAAACAACATGAATCCTTCATTTTAGTCCCATAATCACTTGTAAGTACTCGATATTTAGTCAAGACTAGTAGTGTAGCCCATAATTACCTTTTATCATTTTGATATGTTCTTTTGGTAGTATTTTGTGCAATTTCAGGTAAAGGCGTCTTCGGCGGACTTAAGACAAAAATGGCATCGTTGGCACTGTTTTGATGGAAACACTTTTTAACAAGTCAACAATCTAGACCAGGAGGAAACTGAAAAAAAAAGACCTTCAGTGCAAGACGAAATGTAGAAAGGCAAAAATTGCACTCTGTGCGTAGGCTCTCATTTTGGGTGCCAAATCCGTCGTTGTTTTAGGAGCAAGGCAGAAAAGACAATTTTTGGGAAGCAGTACACTTTTTGTCAGTTTGAACGTTCACCCTAGGTTAGCCACGAAAAGTATGAGCAGAGGAGTTCCTTGGGCACGAAAGAAGAGGGTGAGCCTTGTACCTTTCTCTCTTTATGACTTCCTTTGTATGTATTAGTAGTTAAACGTTAGATTGTTCAGGTAATGTAAACCCCAGGGAGATGGATTGAATGTTTTTGTGATTTGATGTATTTTTATTGTGTATTCTTGTTAATCAATTGTATTGTAAACAAAATTTGTAGTCCTTTATGGTCTAGATCTTGAAATCTTATTTCTAAAAGAGTGACACTGGACACGGCCGCTCCCTAGATCGATCATCAATTGATTAAACTGCTCGATACCTCAAAAGATAGATCCATAAGGTCCTTGTTGCCTGTCAGTTCGGCTATTTGTCGCGACACAAAACAGGAAGAATTGCATATGTCACTGCACATATTCCACTAGTTCGAGTATTTGCCTAGATAGTTCATGGTTAAATACCAAACAAAACACAAGTGAACCGTGTGAATAACACATACAAATTATATAACCATCTAACTCTCGCGTTTAACAAGTCAGTCCTTGTGCTAGTTAATACAATATACATTTCAAACTAGCAGTTAGCCTCCGCCAAATAAAAGAAATTATTTTAAAGGAAAGACAATTAAATAAAGCTATCATGGTTGTTATGTCGGTCTGTACAACAGGGTTCAATCAATATCGGCTACAAATCAGCTGGAATGGCTCGGGTATGGTCGGTAGTCTTTTAAACAATATGACATTGTTTCGGTGAATTTAATTTTTTCTTGAATTTGAAAGTTAAATGTTGATATTATTTGTTATATTCAAATATGAATATTTATATGTTTACGTTATTTTTTTATTCATGTATAAACTTTGAATTTTTGAGTTAAATGTTGTATTTACATATGAGAATTTTTCATTTTCTTTGAAATATTGTATTTTATTTAAATATGTTTGTAAATTTTGAAGAAATTATCTTCAAATATGTTACATTTATTACTCTACATTTATTACTCAACATGTTTTGTTAAAACTAGCTGAATCAAAATAAGGGACGGGATACAGTGAGAACCAAGGGTATTTTGGGTATGAAAAAAAGGAATATATTAATTACCTTTTTTGTATTAAATATATTGGGAATTAAAAACTCATATTAAATACAATTTTTTTTAAATTTAAATCCTATACATTAGTATCTCTACCTATCTCTCTCTCTTCCTTTCTCCAGCGGCCACTTTGCATCGACTGACAGACTTTTTCTCCGGCGAATTCTCTTCGGCAGACTCCCTCTGGCAACCTGAAAAAATGTACCAGTGAATTAAAAAGTGTACCAATCCATTAGTCTACTAGTAATTAATATATCAGTACTAGTGGTACGCTACCAGTGCGTTAAAAAATGTATCAGTGCTAGTGGTACGCTACTAGTACAACGCTACCATTACCATATTGTATCGTACCACTAGCACTGGTAGCGTTTCACTAGCATTGGTAGCGGTATCAGTAGAGAATAACACAAAAAACAGATGGTAGTGGTACCAGATGATAGTGGTACGCTACCACTACGAGCTACCTGATGGTAGTGGTACGTACCACTATCACTGGTAAGCTACCAGAAGAAAAACTGAATCGCTAAATGTCGCCCTTAAAATTACTAACGGTCGCCCTAACTCTAATGATAAATGACTTATGTACCCCTAATAAAATTTTAAATTTAAACAAACCAAACAATCCCCAACCCCTCAAAGTGAACCCCTCATCTACCTTCTTCGCGAATCCCTCTCGACGCACCAGTTCGTCGGCGTCTTTCCCGCCGTCGTCGTCGCCCATTCTCTAACGAAATTTCCAAAAAAACGCTCAACCTAAGGCAAGTTACGGTTGGTCCATGGTGCAACCGCAAATGAGCTACGGTTCCCTTTTTTGTTTTTTTCAATTTTTTGAGTGAACTTTACTGATTCAGAGTCGCTAGTCATGATCCAGACATCATATCGACGATTCCAACTCCAGAATGACGATGATGGATTCTCTCTTTTGAATAATGTTTTATTTTCTTTACTAAGTGGTGTTTGTTTGGTAAAGGAAGAGTAAAGAAGCTAAAAGGTCAAATTTGTAACTTTGATGTTTTTTAGGGCGACATTTAGCAATTTTAAGGGCGACCTTTAGCAACTCCCAAAAAAAATGGTACCACTAAAAAACCAGATCTAGAAAAGGGGAGTCAGTGATGGGAGAGAGAGAGGTAGGGGAAGAGGGTGACCTCGCGACGGCGGCAGTGGTGGGAGACGAAGGGCAGCGAGAGGGCTCCGGCGGCGAGAGGATGATTGCGTCGCGGTGGTCGGAGGGGACGTTGCGACGTCATGGGGTGGAGGGAAACTGAGGATTGCGGAGACGACGACAGTAGAGGGCTGGTGCGATGGAGGACGCACAGCGGTGGAGGGTTGCGGCGGTGGAAGACTGTTGCGGTGGAGGATGGCTACGTGAGAGAGGGAGGAAGGGAGGGAGGAGTTAGGGTTTTGTTTTTAATTTATATGGGAGAGTAAATGATTATGTGTGGTAAATCTTTTCCATTCCAAAACTACCTTTGATTTAATCTTAACCATCAATTTAAAAAAAAAAAAAAAAGAGCATCCAATAGTGAGGAGGTGGATTGTCAATCTAACAACCCTAGGAATTGTCACCTATATCATCCCTCAAAAATCAAAATAAATTGATTATAACACATATAACCATACCACTTATCAAACATAACCATTTCACAACTTTGAATGCTATGCATTCTAAGTTCTAACCAATAACTTTCTTCTATCAGTCCAAACTAAAAATCCCTTTTCTTCTAAAAATTTTGAGCGGAACGAACAAAGGAGATGAAGAGTGGCATTAACGAAAAGTGATCTCCTTGCTAATACACCAACACCACCAATCTTCTTACTCTGCAGCCATCTTCTTCTTCTTCTTCAACTTGCGCTCTCAGACCTTCGCCAATCTCCCGAAGATGATCGGCGGGTTCTCTGCTACGGCAACCCTCTTCGTCGCTTTCTTCCTTATTTCCTCCGTCCACGCCTTTTACCTCCCCGGTGTCGCCCCGCGTGACTTCCAGCGGGTGAGCTTAGCTTTATCTCTACATCTTTAATCTTTTTGGTGTATGGGTTGTGTCTCACTTCGTTGTTTGTTGTCCATTTCTGTTTGTTTGCTATTCTGATGGATGAAATGGAGGCTGGATCTAGGGGTTTTTATTGCTCGGGGTTTTGATCTATCATACTGGTTCTTCGGATTCTTATAGATCTATTTTTGTTTTCCATTTGGGGTTTTAGTTAGTATCTGATCTGGGTTCTTTCCCTGTAGTGGCTTTTGCATGCTTCTATCTGTAGTTAGTAAAATCTGGCTCAGGGTGTCAACTCATTTTAGGACGAATTTCATTTGGTTTCTGATCCTTCCATCTCTGTTTCAGTTCGTCTAAAGCTCTGATATTTTGTGTTGCGAGGATGAGATGATGATATGGTTCCTTAGTGATTACTCGTTAGCATTATCTTAGTGGATTACTATCCTCATTTAAATGATTATCATTCGTCATTTCAATAATAGAAATGTTTCCTTAGATAGAGTTTCTGAGCAGATAAGCTATGGTGTTATAAGTGATTTTAGTATATTCAGGACAGTTCTGAACTAGAGCGGACCAAGACAAGGACAAGCTTGGGTAGTGCTAAGCTCTGATCTGTCTTTCCATATCTCGGTCATTAACAATTAAAAATTCAGAATTACAATAGGTTTTTACAAATATGAAGGCTCGTTAATATTTCAGAGTTCATGCTGATTCGCTTGCACAAGTTTCCGGTATCACCTTTTGGATGTGATATTTGAAATGTTCCTTCAAAACAGAATTAATAAAACATATCTATGGATGTAAGATCACCAAGTTGCTGATTTGCCTCCTACTAATTTTGGTTGTGTCTTTGAACAGGGCAACCTCCTTAATGTGAAAGTGAACAAGTTGTCATCTACAAAAACACAACTCCCATATGACTACTACTTTTTGAAGTACTGTAAGCCTCCAAAGATTGAGAATAGTGCCGAAAACTTGGGGGAGGTCCTTAGAGGGGACCGCATTGAAAATTCAATGTACAGTGTAAGTTATTATATACTATTGAGCATCATATTTGTTGGTAATGATAACTAAACTAGTACTATTAAACTGAAGGCCTTGTGTAACCTTGGTCTTATGTAAATTGTAAAATCTACCTCAGTTTGAAATGATGGTAGATCAATCCTGCAAAATAGCTTGTCGGGCAACACTGGATGCTGAAGCGGCAAAGAATTTTAAGGAAAAGATCGATGATGAGTATCGGGTTAACATGTAAGTAAAAAATTTCAAGTCCTTCCAGTTCAGCATCCTTATCTCGGGTTAATGGCTGGATGTTAATTTTTGTGTAGAATAATGAACATTATTTACTCATGCTGATAGTTGAGAGATGTGTCTGCAGGATACTGGATAATCTTCCTGTTGCTGTCCTAAGACAGAGGAGGGATGGTGGTCAGTCAACTACTTACGAACATGGTTTCCGAGTTGGGTTCAAAGGAAATTATGCAGGGGTATGCTTCAGTAGCATTCCAGCCACATAGTCTTCCTGTTTGTTTGTTGTCCTCTTTTTATTTGTTGATTGACTGGTATCTTGTGGGTTTGTTTCGGTTTCTCCACAGAGTAAAGAGGAGAAATATTTCATCAATAATCACTTGGTGTTTAGAGTTATGTATCACAAGGATCCTGAATCTGAATCCGCCCGAATTGTTGGGTTCGAAGTTACTCCAAACAGGTTTTCCCCCATGTTCCCTTCTCAAATGAGTTGATGTTGCGTATGTATCTGCTCTTAACTTGCTATAACTTCCTGTTGATTCTTTCCCCATTAACAGCATCAATCATGAATACAAGGAATGGAATGAGCAGAACACTCAGTTGACTACCTGCAACAAGGATACCAAAAAGCTAATTCAAGGTAGCATTGTCCCTCAAGAAGTTGATACCAGCAAAGAGGTGGTGTTCACGTACGATGTGATCTTCCAGGTACTCCCCTAAAACACTCTTTTCCTTGTTACCGTTCGTCTAGAATATAGTACTCATTTCGGTTTCTGATCTCTCCTTCAACCAAATCCTTTTCAGGAAAGTGATGTCAAGTGGGCTTCACGATGGGACACTTACCTCCTGATGAATGACGATCAAATACACTGGTTCTCTATCATCAACTCGTTGATGATTGTCCTCTTCCTTTCTGGTATGGTAGCCATGATCATGATGAGAACTCTGTACAGAGACATTGCAAACTACAACCAGTTGGAAACACAGGATGAGGCCCAGGAGGAAACGGGGTGGAAGCTCGTCCATGGGGATGTATTCAGGGCACCGGTGAATGCTGGTTTACTCTGTGTTTATCTCGGTACAGGTGTCCAGATCTTTGGTATGACTTTGGTCACTATGATATTCGCATTACTTGGCTTTCTCTCTCCCTCCAATCGAGGTGGCCTTATGACTGCAATGGTACTCTTGTGGGTCTTCATGGGGATATTCGCTGGATATTCCTCGGCACGTCTCTACAAAATGTTCAAGGGCACAGAGTGGAAGAGAAACACCCTGAAAACAGCATTCATGTTCCCGGGTATTCTCTTTGCAGTATTCTTTGTCCTGAATGCTCTCATTTGGGGAGAGAAGTCTTCAGGTGCAGTCCCTTTCGGAACCATGTTTGCTCTGGTTTGCTTATGGTTTGGTATCTCTGTCCCACTTGTTTTCGTCGGTAGTTACTTGGGTTACAAGAAACCAGCTGTCGAAGATCCTGTCAAAACGAACAAGATCCCGAGGCAGGTCCCAGAGCAAGCATGGTACATGAAGCCTGTCTTCTCCATCCTCATTGGCGGCATTCTCCCATTTGGTGCTGTCTTCATCGAGCTCTTCTTCATCTTGACCTCGATCTGGCTGAACCAGTTCTACTACATCTTTGGCTTCCTCTTCATAGTGTTTGTCATCCTGTTGATCACCTGTGCTGAGATAACGATGGTGTTGTGCTACTTCCAACTGTGTAGTGAGGACTACCACTGGTGGTGGAGGTCCTATCTCACTGCTGGTTCTTCTGCTGTTTACCTTTTCCTATACTCCATCTTCTACTTCTTCACCAAGTTGGAGATCTCAAAGTTCGTCTCAGGGGTCCTCTACTTCGGGTATATGGTGATTATTTCGTATGCGTTCTTCGTCTTGACTGGAACTATAGGGTTCTATGCCTGCTTCTGGTTTGTTAGGAAGATATACTCGTCTGTGAAAATCGACTGATGGAAGAAGAATGCACATTATGTTCCAAGTTCAAAGCCATGCAGCTGAGCTTATCTTAGTCCAGTTTTGTGTTTTGCTGAGGCTTGATGCTTGCTTGCACCAGAAGAAAGCTGGCGACCTTTACACGGGTGTTTTGATCCTTCGATGTTCCTGCTGCTGCCGATAGATTTAGCGGCCTTGGCTTTCTGTTCTTTCCTTCTACTTATTAACTTCCATATGACAGACTCTTAATTCCATGGATGAAGATTTGACAGGGTAATGTAGACCACACGTTGCACTTTGGTGTACCATTAGAATGCAAAAGCACAGACAGTTGTAGTTTTTTCTTTTCGTTTTTGTAATAGCAAAACTTGGTTTTCTATGGATTTGAGCCAGTATCCTATTTTTGAGTGTTGTAAAACCCAGTTTCTTATTTCTAACTTGCCAACTCGATGGCCTGGAAATTGCTTATTAATTTGAATATTTGATTATTGGCAGCATAGTCGTGACATCACAGGATAGTAATTTCCGATTATTGTCAATGTATAAATAGCGTGTGCCGATCGGTCCATGTCTTCAATTCGAATAGACACTAGACAGTCAAACTCCTAATGATCTTGTCATTAAAATTCGAATAACAAAAATAATAGTAACTTTGTCTAGCTCTGTTCAATTGTCAAATCGTTGTAGTATTCGAGCAAGATTTTGGGTTATGCAGGCTGAAATTTGATTTGACTTGAAATGAGTTAAAATGTGCTAACTCAGTTAAATTATGTTAGACAGTGATTCTTACGCAAGTCATTCTCCCAAACTTCAGCTGCTAAATATCATTTAGCGACCAAGTTTGTTCCTTCAAAGGCACAAACTTCAGCAGCCAAAGTTTGTTCCTTGCCCCCAGTATCCTCCATCTCTCTTTTTTTTAATGAAATTAGAAAGGGCTAAACATCTTTGGTTCCACTCAAATACCCATCATTCTTTAAGCCCTCCAGAAACCATTACCAATCTCATTTCATCAAATGAGCTTCCATCTCAATTTAGTGATGTTACATTATGCAACTGATAAACCTGGGGGTGTAACTGATAAACCTGTGGCACAGCCCTAGGCACATGCTGGATTAGGCCATCCACCCAAGGTCTCAGCAAACTACTGTAAAGAAACCATTATTACCACAAAAAAAGGCCAAAATTCATGGAGACACTACTCCTACAGGACATTAATTAGCTTGCATGGGAAGACCCATGCGCAACCAGCAGTATTAGCAGAGTCCAGATTCCTTCAGTTCAACACCTCGTGCTCACAAGCAGCAGGCCACCAGGTGGTGACGGAAAGCCGTGATTCCTAGTGGTACTTCGAGCGTCAAGCTTGCTAATAACCCGCACCATGGCAATGCCATCTCTCAATAACTCGTCCATGTTCGCGACTTCCCATTCTTCTGCCTGTTCAACATTTAGGGCAAAGAAAAGTTAGTAACTAGCTTGCATTTCACGTAACGAGGTAATAACTGAATGTTGCAAGGAACCGACCAAAATGAGTCCTTCTTTTCTTGTGCTAATAGCTCTTCAAATGAGATATCAGCACATTCAGCATCATTCTCTTCCATCATGTCACTAGTCTTGGTCTCTTTCTCCATGCTGGCACTGATTTCAAGCATCTTAAATACGAGAGCATTAAAGAGGTGAAGAAGCACATATTTAAAATTCACTGATCATGCATTGAAGGCAAAAGATGTACCTTTTTGTAAGCAGGTGAGAGTTTAAGCTGCTGTTGAAGCCAATTATAAACAAATGCATCCTCTTCTAATCTCTTTTGTTCTACTTCTAGCTTGTATATCTGAAGAGAGAAAAGTTCAAATCAACCGCAATCAAGAGCCAAGCAAGAGCTGAATGTGACGCCATTCAGATACACACCTGTTGACGAAGGCGATCTATTGAAGATCTGTCTGCCTTGAATAATAGAGCTTTGGTTATCGTGAACCTCCGCTTAATTACCTCTGACCTGAACCCAATTTAAAGTTGGTGATTCCGAAGTCAGTATTTTGTTTTGCAATTGTAACGCCTTATAGCACAATTGCATATTGGACTGAAACATTATGATCACTCATAGATAAACTAGGGTACATAAAATTCAAAAGAAAACTGCTAGACCCATTGACAATTGTCAAGCAGAATGGGAGCTTTATGGTTCTACATGATATATTCAAAGATAGACCACAGATGTAGATCCTAGAAGAAATTTTAACATACTTGTGCTGCAACTCGGTTCTAGCCTCGACCAAGCAATTAGCAAACTCTGCAACCTGGAAAACAATGAAAGTTGAAGTCAATAAGATATCGGCGTTACATACTACAGTGTTCCTAGTTACTTAAGAGCTATGGCCTCGGGATCTGATAGCTACACGTATCATACATCAGGCAGACCAAATAATATGGAAGCACAAAGATAAGTTCCACCATCATGTAAACATAAGCCAAGCCGGAACTTCAACTGAGTTAAACTTCTCTCATACTGACAACATCCAAGTTACCACATAATAATTCTAAGATTCAACACAGTAATTGCTACTGTGTCATGGCCAAAATGTTACATGCCTATAGCATCATGGAGCACATTTGTAACAGCATTCAAAATTCCAGCGAACAAACAGGCACAAACTCTACCCCAAAACCTTTATGGGGCCATCACAACCAAGGATGCTATACTAGTGTTGTTTCAAATTTTAACCAGTTCATCACAAAGAAAGCTCAGGGATATATTGTCAGCATTTCAGCATTACAGTTACTCCATCCAACAGCATGGTGGTCACCTGATGTCAAGATTCAAACTTTCTTGTTTTGATGCATATCCAAGTCCCATATAGAAGTCAAATGATGCCACAATCGAATTGATTCATCTGCTTCTAAACCCACAGAATTTGCACATTGCCAATTAGTTACTTGAAACATGGAAGGGAAATAGACAGTTTCATAAGCAAGGAATTGCTTCAGAGGGATCCAATCTTATATTCCCAAATGCAAGCAAGATAGAAGAAGAAACGAAATGAGTTGAACTCCCCTGATCAAATTCGACACCCTTCGTCAACAGAATGGCAAGGCAAAATGCAAGAGATCAAGAAAAAACAAGCTGCAATCGAACTCATTTGAAACTTGAAGCAAAATACTTCAAATTGTCACCAATTTGAGAAGAGAGAAAGAGGGAAATGAAGGAAACCTGAGCCAATGTCAATCCTCTCTTTTCATTGCACTTCACTAGTTGGTCATACTGCTGCTTAATCTTCCTCTGGGTGGCACTGCTGGCTGATGTAAACGGGTACAAACAAACCAACTCCGGTTTCACACTAAACGAACCCGAATCCAAACCCGGCCCATCTAAATCCTTCTCTTCTTTACACCCACCGCCAGCATTCTCATCAACCACCTTCGAATCCAATCGCTTCTTCTTCGCTCTCTTCTTCTTCTTCTTTATCAACTTAAGCGATTCTCCACCGGCGGATGAACCATCCCCAGGACCCGATACCGCTCCATCCGGGTCACCGCTAAACAGAGCAGCCCATTTTGGGGAATCGGAAGGCAAAATTTCGAGGAGGAGGGAATGAGGCAAATGGCCGTTCTCGTTTTCGCGGGTTAGAATCAATTTCGACAAAGATTCGGCTTTGACAACCGGGTTTCGGAGAAGAAGTGGCTCTTCTTCTCGCCTCTGTCTCCTCAGACTTCTGCAGAGGAAAAACAGAGAGAAGAAGAGGGAGAAGGCGAAGGAGAAGAAGAAGAAAGCGAGGAGGTGGGAGAGCAGCATAGGTTGGGTTTTGTGGGTTGTGGATGAGAAGAAGGAGAAATACTGAGAAACTGGAGCAGCGGGGATAAGATGGGAGAGATATGAAGAAGCGAAAGCTATGGCGAGAGCCGCCATTGAAGCAAACGCGTCATGAAGTGGGAAAGAGACAAAAGAGAACCCAATTGTGTGCAGGGAGGGAGAGAGAGGAGGGGGAGGAAGAAGGAGAAGAGAAGGAGAAGGCTTTCCCCTTTTGCTATTCTCTGGAATATTTTTGTAGGGGAAGGGAAGATGTGAGCGAGCAACACCACTTTGCCGATATTTTATTTATGGCTAAATTACAAGTTTGGTCACTTGAATTATATAAAATTTTCACGTTTGCCACTCAAATAATTTTTCTTTCTAATTCACCACTAACTTTACGAATAGTTTCACCGTTTGTCACCGGATGTTAGTCTCCGTCAGACTCCGTTAACTCCATCAGTTTTTTAATGACGTGGCAAACTGAACTGCTGACTAGACCGTTACTTAATGACAAGTCAATTTAAAAAAAATAAAAAAGTACAAAATAGGTAGAGGAGTCCCACTAGGCCTGCCTCGACCTCCCCTTCTTCCCTAGTTCCCATTCTAATAAAGACGCCTCACCTCCCCTCGCCAATTTCGCGGCGGTCATCCAGCCTCCAAACAACCCAATCATTTTGATATCCTCGCCTTCCACCCCAATTCCAAAAGACGATTTTCAACTGGCCTCCTGCAGCCTCCCCCGCCGGACTACGCCTCCCACGAGAAAGTCGGGCATGCCAAGATGAAGGCCTCACTGTCCTTGTCGATTTTGAACGAGAATCCGGATCTCAGGGTGTCCGAGAGGGAGCTGCTCAAGGCTAGGGTGGAGAATCCTCCTGTTTTCTTCTCTCACTTCGCGAGCGGGTTGAGTCCCCGACTTGACCCTATCGACGGCGGAGATGCCAATACGGTAACTCTCTGCTTCCTCTAGGCACCAAACCAGCTTGTTATTTCGCCACAATGTCTTCCAATTCGTCCTCCGAGATAACCGAGCTCGAAACCCAGACTCCGAGCTCCACCAATTCCTCCGATTACAGCTCTTTGATTCCGGATGAAGCTGAAATCATAGCGAAGCTGAAAAGGCCCGAGGTAATGAACAGGAACAAGGCAGGTTCAGCTGCGGAAGCTCAATAGGACCAGAGACAAAATCAGGGATCCACTCTGCACTGCCCTATACTAGTACAGACAAAGATTTCCACCCCAGGAAATCGACTTATATATGGAATTGGGGGATGAGTATGACCGCTGTGAAATTGGGGGGGGTGAAGCGTCTTCCAGGATGGGGGAAGGCGAGGTCGGCTAGACCTGGTGGGGGTACTCCTCTGCCTATTTTCGTCTTTCTTTTATTTTTATTTAAATTAACATTTCATTAAATTAACGGTCTAGTCAGCAGTCCCGTTTGCTACGTCATCAAAAAATTGACGGAGTTAACGGATTCTAATTGAGACTAACGGCCGGTGACTAACGATGAAACTATTCGTAAAGTTAGTGGCGAATAAGAAAGAAAAGTAATTTCGGTGGCAAACGTGAAAGATTTATGTAATTTGAGTGACCAAATGTGTAATTTAGCCTTTTATTTATTCTTCCTCCTTTCTCCATTCCCCCTAGAGCTGTCAAAATTGAACACGACCCGACTAACCCACCCGACCCACCACTCGTCCGTAACCCGATCCGACAAAAAATCAACCACCCGAAGCCCGCCCGTAACCCGGAACCAATTGATCCGTAATCCAATCAACCCATAACTCGATGAACTCGTTATCCGATCCAACCCATAACCCGACCCATCTATAACCCAAATGATTCATAACCCAAATAACTCGTAACCGAACCCAACCCAACTCGAATAACCCGAATAACCCATTTGACCTGAATGCTTGTACAAAATTCAATGTATACATTTTTATATTTTTAAATTTATCAAGAAACAACTGTTGTTCTCATAATAATTGAAAATTATTTGTTGAATTGATGGTATAAATAGAGGTTTTTTCTTAATTATTTAATTTTTACAATAATAATATGTGAAATATATTTTCATTCATTTTTTATTTTATGAAATTCAAAGGATAAATTTTTGAAGATAATAGGAAGAGTTAGACACAAATTCGTATCTCCTCCACCCATAACTATATTAAAAAAATCAACCCTTGAAAATCAATGAAATCCCCAAAATTAGTGAAATCAATGATCCCTATCAAGATATGTAAGTGGATAGTTTACTCTTTTTACTTCATTCTCAACTTTTTACTGACTTTGTTTATTTTTTATAAATTAATAAATCGACGATTCGAACTAGATGATAATATCATATTTGAGCGAACCGTTGTTCGACCCATGAGTTTTAGGATGAGATGTTACCGTGAATATATAAAAAATTGTGAAGATATATAAGTGGGTGATTCGGAATGATGTTCATAACTCTTCGTGGAAATAAAGATACATACATCTAGTTCATATTATATTTAATTAAGATGATTCATTTCGAGATGTATAAGCATATAGTCTATCTTTTTTACTTCATTTTCAAATTTTTACTGATTCAATTAATTTATAAATTAATAAAATAAGTGAAGTTACAATCTCTCGCCATAAAAAAAAAATTATAACCAACAACAAAACTTTTATATACACTATTTTATTTATATTTAGTTTTATACTAACATAATGGATATTTAATTTTTATGTGTAAAATATTATCATTTTCTTAAATTTTGTATCATTACCTACAATTTATATTCATATATTGATAGTTTGTAAAACATTATTTTCTATCAAGAAGCAAATGATCCAATGGGTTGACCCGAATAACCCATAATCCGACCCGAACGAACCCAAATTAACCCGCAATCCAATAAACCCATAATTTGATGCACCTGTAACCCGATCCGATCCGTAACCCAATTGACCTGTAACCCAATTAAACCCGATCCAAATTAAAACTGACCCGATTGAACTCGCAACCCGATTGAACCCAACCTGGTTGGACCCAATCCGAACCCGACCCAACCCGTCCAATTGACACCTCTAATTCCCCCTCAATTCTTCGTCTCCTGGGTCCCGACTCTTCTTTCTTTTGTTATTAGTTTGTTGTCCGACTCGTTGATCTAAATGCCATTTGAACATAATGTATTTATGATGTGTATTTAAATTTGTTAAATTAATTGAAATGCTGAATTTCGTATGGCACTAAGGTGACATCTCAATTATTTTTTCATTTTCGAAATTCTTATAACTTTCATCAATGGTGAACATTGTAACCTTAATGGTTATAACCAAAGTTGTCAAACCGGTTAAAATCATTGAGCCGGTCAAACAAGTGGTTTGTAGTTCAATGGTTTGATTGAGGTCCAACCTGTTTGAGTTGTTTTACACCTTTTCTAAATATATTTACTTATAAGATAGAAATTTAGTGACTGAAATAGAATATACTAACTTGTATCTATTAAAAACTCAAATAGTCAAATTCCATACAAAAACATACATATCTCAAGATCCACCCACCATCCCCTTGCCCCCCCCCCCCCCCCCTTCCTCCTCCTTGCCTCTCTCTTCTTCTCCCTCTATAACGATCAGACTCTTGATTTTGTAGAGCCTGTTTTGGAGCATGACTTTGGTCGGATCTAGTCCAACCAATCGCCCAGTAGAGGTGTCACAACCTTGGTTATAACACTTATGAATAACTGACTCGCTATGACACAACTCCTGACAAAGGCCAAGTGTAACCAATGAAAGGGACTACAGTATAGTGGCTCAAGTAATAAATATCTAATCAACGGGTCTCTAGAGTTACTATTACTCAGCTTCAGTTCATTATCTAGCAAACCAGATTAAGATGGAAGAACTAAAACTACTCTAACAAACTACAGTTAAAGTTAATCTAATTACAGGTTGGGAACTCACTTAGGTATGATTCCCCCTAGCCACTAGCCAGATTAATGATTGATGATTTCTAACTTGTTTCACTTTCATTCACAATGCGTAGAATCCTTGACTAGACCTTGAATCTCGACTAAAGGATCAAGGCCCTCTTGAGTCGATTGCCTAGAGGGACGTATCCTTCTCTAGAACAACCAATCAAGGCGTTCTGAACTAGACTCCCTCTATCCAATGAGATTCTCAATCGATACAAAGCAGTGAATCGACCCTCGACTAAAGCAATCAATCCAATACTATCAATCTATGGTGCTCTATTGACCTAATCAGGTATTCGCTCTCATAGGATCAAAGCAGAATCAATAATCTCGACTAAAGCAGAATTGAATCATGAAAACGTGCATAGATTGAATATGAACTCAAGATTATTAAGTAGGAGTACTCATACAATAATCCAATCAAACAAACATAGCTAGGGTTCCTCAAAACCTAAGTGAAGGGAAGTTACTCCATAGAGAAGAGAGAGACTGAAGTAAGAATCTTCAGATGATCAGTCTTCAAGTCTGGGCTTGTTCCTCGAGCTTCCAAGGCAAAGAAATCCTCCAATTCCACTCCAAGAATGCCCTCAAATCGCCCTTTCTCTCTTTGGTTCGTCCCTTGGGTTTTTGGGATCCAAAACTCAGCTGTCCCCTTGCAAAAACGCACAAACAGGCTTTTAACAGTCTGCGTTCGCGATCCCCGGTCATAATCCCCGGTCGGGTATTTCGGGTGCCCGGCCGGGGATTTTGAAACGCAACGCAGCGGTACAGGGGATAATACCCGATCGAGGTCAAGAATACCTGATCGGGTATTTTTGCTCTCTGGCCGGGACCCCTTCTGTTTCTAGACGTCCAAAATCGATTTTCCCCGGCCTCTCTTAGCGATTTACCCGGCCGGGTATTATTACTCATGGTCGGATATTTTGCTCCTCCAGCCCCCTTCAACTCAAACGTCCTCCTTTTGACCCGAAACTCATTTCCTCGCCTTAACGTCAACGCCAAGCCCTGAAATATGACATAAACACACAACCTAGCGTGAAATCGGCTTAAAACACAAGAATCTTTTCTCCAACAGCTCAAGAATAAGGGTATAAACATGTGTAGTTATTGGTCTATCAATAACCATTCATAACTTGTCTATTTAATGATGTAGTCACTTAGTTGCCTATGGTTGAAAAGAAAATTGACATAAAAAAAGAGTTTGTCTAAAAAAACTTAGCATAAATAGGAAACTCATGATCATAACCTTTGGTTAGTATTTATTTCTTTTGCTTGAGAAACAATACATATATTATATATAGAAATATCTAAACCTTAAAGTATTATACATAATATAATAACAAAATTAGTAAGAAAAGAACATTCTCCGTCCATACTCTATGTAATAAAAAAATTATTTATCAACAAAGATACTCTATATTTAGTTGAAGGACAATCTTATTCACTCAACAAAAACATTACACATATCTTGTGGTACCTACCTTGGTAATGCACATGACCCCATCAACGTGTCCATGAAAACTCCATCCTGACTTTCATGATTTGTCTTGTGCTGCGTTATTTCATATTAAACTAAGTAACTATGAATGATACATCTAGTCAATGACCCTATTAAAAACATCTATAAAAATTGGTATTCATAAATTGTGTTCTTTTAAACTCACTCATTTTTCCAAGCATGCCATATTATAAAGAAATTTAGGATTCAACGATTAACCAAACTAAAACTTTCAAAAATGAAAAAACTGGTCACTTACAGTTTGCATAACAATATCGTTGCTTTAATAGTTCTAAAAATTAATACCAATTTAAGAATTATACATCACATCTACACATTTAATATTGCAATTCAATATGCAATATTCAAATCAATGATATTTGGGTTGCACTTTTGAAATTATTCTCCATTTGTAAGAGGACATAAATTAAATTTACTATTAAACTCAAATTACAATAATCAAAATATCAAATAACAAAGAAAGTACTTTCGAGAGTTAGTGGGCTAACTAACAATAGTGGAAAAGTCATATAGTTTTTAGATTTTAGGTTTTCAGATTTTGTATTTAAAAAGATACAAAATGTTTCTTTAGTGTAACTGGTAATGGTTGTTGTCTTTGTTTGGAAAGACCATGGTTTGAATCCCAGGATTGATTTTTTTTTTTCTTATGAATAAACGATAAATAATGATTGTGAAGACACAATTACCCTTCCTACTTTCCCTCTCGTGTTCGAAAATTCGAAATGCTGAAAAACTGCCCCCAACTTTGCTATAATATATTTGTAAATGGTAGAAATCGTCTTAATTCATACTACTTGAAAGATTTTGAGGGACTCATAATATCTTACGTTAACCATTGTCATCGTTTAGATCATTCGTACTGAATATATTCGCCAAATGGGAAACAATGCTTCTTAGAAGGTTAGAAATATACTTGATATTATACTCTATGTAAACATGTGAAACAACATCCCAATCGAGGTTCAAAAGATCCCTAATATGTTGTGTTAGGAGTCCGTGTTGATAATCATTCTCCATGCACTACTTGATGAGTAGCTATAGTATTGGGAATCGAGATTGAACTGAACCTTCATGTACCCATTTTGTCTAGCAAGTTTTAGCCCCTCCATCGCTCCCTTCAGTTCAGCTGTTATAGTTTAGCAGCATCTCAAATTACTCACAACGCTGCCACACATATGCCAAGGTGGTCTCTTGACTCGCTTTAAATACAACTATCCCAATCAAAGACCAAGCATCACCAACAACATTGTGAAGTATAGGGTAAGTAAAGATAAAATTGAATCCACATGCCTCTACGTTACTTCACTTCAGTTTGATATCTATCCAGAAAATAATAGTGATTAAGAAACTAAACTAACTAAGCTACTCTAACCACTAATCTGGCTAATTAGCTCACTTAGGCATGAATCCCCCAAGTTCCTCTATTAGGACGATGTTGAGTACTACCCTAGATTGATTGACTCGATACGTCTACCACGTAGAATCCTAGACTCAATTGGATTCTCTATTCAAGTTGTCCAACTCGCTCAATTGCTCTACTCGGAAGAGGCGTACCAACAACCGACCTAGCCAACTAAGCCATTCATAATTGACTCCCGCTAGAGGGCAAAGACCCAATTGACACTATGGATCCAATCACACTCGTTCAAGGACACATGATAAAGGATTGAAGTGGCTATATTGAACCCATGGAGATATTCTTTCTCTTAAGTCAAAGCATAATTGACATGTGGTGGGATCAAGACTCATGCAATTCATCATAAATATCAATCAAATAGAGAATATGAGTAGTCAATCATAGGATTTGTCACATACATCAACAATCAATCCAAAATCTAGAACTAGGGTTTATCAACCTAAGTGAAGGAGAACTAATTCATAGATAGGAGAGAGAATATATTACATGCCCAAGATCTTCAATCTTCATCTTATATGGGTGATCTTCAAGCTCCATTGATGATCCAAGCCTCCAATTCAGCCCCAAGATCACTCTAGATCTCCCTCTCTCTCTCTCTCTCTCTCTCTCTCTCTCTCTCTCTCTCTCTCTCTCTCTCTCTCTCTCTCTCTCTCTCTCTAGAAATTGACCATTTGTTTTTGGGTGAAAATCCAGCTCCCCCCTTCAATACCCATTGTTGCCTTTTATACAACCCACAATGCTCTTTTCACGCTAGGGTCACGACCGTGAGATTTAACATTTGGTTGTGACTCTAAACCAAAAAATGTTGTCGTTTTGCACCTTCTCACGACCACTTCAGCAAAGTCACGACTTGACCCTTTGGTCGTGACATTGCACTTTCCTCCTGCCTCTTTGCATCGTCTCACTACCATAGTTGTAGATGCCACGACTAGGTCGTGAGTTTGGCAACTTTGATCGTTTCTACTCTCTAGTGAAATGTGGTTATGAATGAAAAAGGGGACGAGATCCTCAAAATTAGCGTTGAGACTTGAGCTCTTTGGGGGAGTTAAGAGAGTGGTCGACTGGGTTACTAACATGTACTGGGAAGTCGGCTAGATCCACGGTTTGGTCCAATAAACCGCGGTCTAGACCAGACCAAACCAAAAGATCAAAACTTTATATAATACAGACCATGGTCCAGATCATACCATTTCTCACGGTCTACTATCCGGACCAACCTATGCGGTCTAGTTTGGTCCATGGTTTTTCAAACAGACTGGTCTATTTTCCTAGTCCTAATGACGATCACCAAGTCAACCAATCAAGAAATGAAGGATAAACATGTACAATTAAGAATAGATCACACTCCCCGAGTCTTAACCGTTTGCTTGTCCCATAGCAAACCTACTTAAAATGGTGCAACTCAATAAATCACCCAAGGTAGCAAGCAACCCTGATCGTTAGTAGATAACATTTATGTCAAAAGAAGAGCTAGGATAAGAACCATCGACCTTCAAAATGGTGTCTAGTGGGGACAGAGAATAGTAGGTGAATGGTGGATGCTATAAAGCTATTTGATTGTCCCACTCGACACACTTACTTATTTTGCAAACACGACTCTCTATCTCATAGCTTAGCTTAGACCAAAACTGACATTGACTTCTCTTTCTTAGCCTCATGGGGGGAAAGTGATGGTTGAGAGGATTGAATAGGGTAGGAAGGTGAAGCGTTCGGATGTGAATTCGGTTCTCCTAAGTACCAATTACATGCCTTCACTCATGTCTAACAAAGATGAGTTGCCACACATGTGAGATAATAGCAGAGCAGAGGTCTTCCTACTTGGGTAGAGGTACACTATCTCCTCCCTATCAAGTCCTGTAAGGAGGAAAGGTGTTTAAGGGAAGATGAAAAGTAGTATATGAAGGTTGGACACTAGAAAGCTATCCAGATTTCCCCCTAACACATCCTAAAAGGGCACCCAGTCCGAAAGAAAAGTCATTTGACTACTTAACTTAAACACTATGTTCGGTTGCCACTCAAGTGAGACACTCTTTTTCATTTAAAATCACATTTGGAACACCCTTTTTCATTCAAATATTTCAAGACCACAACACGAAGAAATTCATCCACAATACACCAATCACATATCATATCACCTCTAAACAATAAATTGATCAACACGGTTCAACATAAGTCTCCCTAAGTTGCAAGCTGCCATGGTATCTAACGATTCAAAGCACAATTGAGCAAGTATAAGCATGGGACAAGGTGTTTGGAGCTAGGGATAACATTGGGGCGGGTTTGCCTAAACAATCCCCATCCCTGTTTTCAAATACCCATACCCATACCCGCCCCATACCCATGCAGGAAATGTTTTGCAAACTCATCCCCATACCCATGGGTTTTGGGTACCCACGGGTAATACCCACCCCGTATATCCAACATTATTATACCAAAAACTTTACAAGAAATTTTTTTAATTACAACACTGAACGAACCTACTATATCATGAAGACAATAAAACACAGTCATTTTCTTAATACGGTTCGAAGAATATGGTCCAAAAACATCCATTAATACATGATATAGAGTATAATATTTTCCAAATTATTATGCTTTAACTCTGATACATCTACTAAGTAATAATTAATTAACATAATATTGTTGACAAAGGGGAAAGTGAAAGAGTGAAGAAAGAATTGAGGGAAATGAATTAGATTTTGATTAGGGTGGCCACTCAATTGTATATTTACTATTTATTTTCTCGAGTTACCTTTATTATCATTAATAGGTTACAATTTAATCAACACATTAATTATATGTGAAGAAATTCTCTTGGGTATGGGGCGGGGGAGACTAAAACCATACCCACCACATACCCATCAAATTTGTGGGTTTTACCCATACCCAGGTAAAGTGGGGGTTCCCCGCATTGACTGGGCCGGGGGCGGTCGGATACCCGTGGTCATGGGTTTGATTGCCATCCCTATTTGGAGACCTCAAATTTTGAAAATTTGGCATGCAATACTAGGCCCTGAACACTCTCAATGTAGCAAAAGAGTTCATTCACATTTAAACTTGGAGCCCTCAAATTTTTGAAATTTTGGCATACAAAACTAGGCTTCAAGCATTTACATTCACACCATTCATTCACACACATAAGCAAAATGGAACACCCCCTACTTAAGAACGACATTATCCTCAATGGAGTAAAGATAAGGAGGATAGAGAATGAAGTTAGCGGATCAAGTGTGAACTATAGCGGATGGGACAAGAGGATAGGTGAGGTCCAAAAAGCCCACGAAGGTCAATTTATTGACTCGGAAATCAAAGAAAATGAAGGAAATGGCAAACCAAAGTACTTGGGTTGCCTCTCAACAAGCGATTCTTTCACGTCATAAGTCAGATGGTTGCTCCTAATTCTCGATCCATCCCAAAACCTCCTTGAAGTAGAGGTCCATATGTCTTGCTTTAGGAAGTGTAGTTCTGAGATTATGTATGATGCTTAGAAACTTTTCCAATAGCTTCTTAGAGCATGCCCTCACCATGAATTTCGGGGGAAATCCAAAGTAAAGTGTCCTAGCAGCGTAGTTCAAATTTGGGCTACAAGTGGCAGGGAACAATGGAATCATTAAGTCGACAGTTATCTAAGGGAGGTTTATTTACGAAGGAGTTTTTAGTGTTGCATTCGTTCGAGTGCCTAAATTTAGTTGGAAGCGGAGAATACACAAACAACAACAATAAAAACATTGAGATATCGCAACAAAGGCATGGAAAACTAATAGTGTTTACATTGGGTGCAACCTTGAGGATAAGGTTGGTCTCAAAGGAGAGGTAACATTAGAAACACGCTATTATATGAGAGCGGATCAAGGTTGTCAACCCGCGGGTTGACCCGGACCCGGTTGAGCTAGTGGGTTAAGGGTTAATGGGTCACCCGTTTTAGCCCGGTTTAGCCCGGAAATATGGAAAGCGTCACTATATTGTACTTATCTTGATAAATCATATCAAATCTCATCTAGCATATGAGTTATAACATATAATATTACACCAAAAATAACAAGTCGTACTTAGATTCAACATATAGTGAAAATTCACACACACTTATATAACATTAATATTCAAATGTTCAACTTAGGATTCCAAAGATTAAGTTAGGCGAAAAGAAAAATCGGAAAATAGGCGCATTTCGCAAAACAAAGAAAAAAATGACATAATTTGACCTCCAACCCGGTACTTTGTAGTGGTCGACCCGGTGGGTGCGTGCGGCCCGTTTTTCTCACCGGGTCAGGGTCAAAGCGGGTCGACCCGCGGGTTGACAACCTTGGAGCGGATAAAGTACTAACTGCTTTTTTCAACAAAATCCTACAAAACTCATATATTGAGTCGGCCATTAGCTTTGATTTAGATGACTCACAACCCATGTAAGGACATGGAGAGGCAAACTGATAACTTTTGCACCTTTTTTTTACTGACATGGAATTTAAAGAAGAGAGAAGACTTTTGACCAGTCACAACCTACCTTTTTGAAGCTCACTTTCTTCAAAATCGGGTCATATCTCCTTCGTTTTAACATGCAGTTTAAGAATTTTGCATATGCATTAATTATGATCTACACAATGATATTCATTTTGGCATTGCTATAGTTTGAAAAATAGTCTTCCAAATACACATTTGTTTAAATCTTATCACTGTTACAATATATATATCTTTCGCTTTTAGTTGAAATTTAAATATTTTCATAGATAGAACCTCATTACTTATGAACCTCATTATGGTAAAACTAAAAGCATGATCATACCACTGTCATATCATTATATTAACAATATGATAATATCATATATGACCGTGGTATAATGACATAAAGATTATTGATAAACGATGACTTCATGTTATCTTACCACTATCAGAAATCTATTGTAAGTTTCATAATATTAATTTATTATTATTACTATCATGACTCATGAGGGCTAGGCGGCTAAATAAAAATCGAACATTGTTAGTTTCATTATTATATTTTTTCAGTATTTTTCTGTAAATATGTACTCGAGTTATTATGTCGAAGTTAAGCGAAGATTATGTTAAAAAAAATTATCTCCCGAACCCTAATCTTTATCTTTCGAAATCTCGTTCCTTCTTCCCTGTCAAGGTCATTGGTCGTTCTTTTGCAATTTTGCCAATTCTATTTGTCATTCTCTAATCATCAATTCTTGTTCTAATCCATTGTTCTTTCTCAAATTCCAGTTGATTCTCATCTATCGTTTCTCGTTAGGACAACCACACGTGACCGAAAACCCGTATTTTTTACACGACACAATAATAATTGTAATGATTCTTTTTTTCCCCCCCGTAAGACTACAACTCCAATGCATATAGTCCCTTAAACTTCCTATTTGCCGACCAACTTGTCCAGTAAACATCGAGCCGAATCTTAATGACCTCATTCGATCCAACTTAATTACCACTAATCATGAGTCAGGTGGTGTAACTGTGAAAGTAACTATGACAGACAAGTACTTGTTGCGGCGGTGAATTTTATCTTTCTTTCCTTGCTTAACTAGCAAGCCGACGGTACCTTTTTCAGGCAGCCCACCAGCCCATTTGCGGTCATTCCAAGTAGCTGATAGTCCCTCGTTACTTTACTTGGCAATTAAGGGTTTGGCGCAAGATAGGTTCTCTCCTCTGGTGGAGTAATTTTGCTTGGAGTGCAGAGTTTACCACAAGTTGATCCACTTTCTTACACATACATCTATCCATCTTTCTATATGTGATTCTTGTTAGATCATTGAGGGAATGAAAAGTGAAATCAAATTAACTGAGAGATGAGATGAGCAAAAGCAATACTCACATAACGACTCGTTGAGCTTATCAGATCGAAACTATCAACACTGGTCTGAATTCAACAGGCAAACCAGAAATATTTCACAGATAGATACGATAGAATAGATAACCTTAAGAAACATAGTACCAAAGCTGGAGGCTTTTGTTCTCCCATACTCTAATTACACTGGAAAATTCCTGCACATGGATTCCCTTACTGGTTTATCTCAATGTGCTTGTGCTGCTTCTACTTCCAGAATTGCTTGAATGGCACGGACCAGTTCTTATAACCAACTGCTACAATTCTTCACTATGTACATAAATAAGAGCTTCCTCTGGAATAATCTTCTTTACCCACAATCTAGACGAGAACGTATGGCTTTCAGACGGAATGTGTGCTGTATATTTGTACAACTTTCACCCCCACGAAAGCCACCGAAACAAATGGTTGCTTGCTGCTGCTGCTGTATAGGAAACAGTGTAAAGAACATGGAACTCAAAACTTTGAACTTGCACTCTTTTTCAATTCATCAGCTGCATACTGCCTCCACCGAAAGTTTCTTCATCACGTTGGGGCACGGATCTCCACCAAACATCTCAGGCGCTACAGTCACCGAGCACCAATTCTGGCCAACACAAAGCTGCAGATACAGACATTCGATACAAACATCAGATCAATCATGATGCTGGAGGTACAGAAGGGCAAATGGTGAGTTTGGCCAAAACAAAAAAGGATGCAACAGCTCATTCATGAATTACCCTATTGAAGGCATCGTATGAGTGGAAGGCATGACAGCTCCCTTGCTGGTAGTTTCCACATGTCCCTTTTGGCGTACCGAAGCTAGCAAACTTGATCGATGACATCTTCTGGCCAGCGCCACAAGACAAGTGAACTTTGGGCCTCAGTGGTTTGTTCACTCTCCCCGAGGCTTGCATTTGATAGTTCATCAGAGTCGGCTGCCACTCGTAGATATCAGCACATATGGTGTCCACTTCTCGTCGAACGAGGGAGATGCCGTTCGGATCTCCACCCCATTCCTCGAAAACAACCAACAAATTCCCAGCTGGATTCAGCCACGAACGAGGAACATGGTACCTGGAAAGGTTAAGGTGCATAGTTCAGATTTCTAGAATCAACCCTGCTAGCAAATTAAAGGGCAACATTGAGCAAATATTTTATATGTTTACCATCGTTGTGAAGCTTCTCCACAGTTGCTTGAGCATTTCTTCTCATTGTAAGTTCCAGCATAGTTGCATTCGCCACAGCCATCTGATGCTGCTTTATAAGCAGGCCAGTACCTTCCGACACTCTGCCCATTAATCCATACTTGACCTTTGCCCATGCTTCCCATGTCTAGAGCCAGTGGTGAGCTTCCAAGTGGAGCGCTAAATGTGGTCTACAGAACATAAGAAGATGGATGTTAAACTGAATGAAGGGGTAGTTTTGACATTTGATGCAGCTGACATGGACAGTGATTGTCATTCATCATAAAGGTATTAGGTTGACAAGGATGATATTATGTCTTAAGATCAAGGTGATTAAACAGAATGGTAGGTTCCCGGGGCCTCAAATGGGAAATTCTATAGTAGCTAAGTTCAGGGGGCCTAAATGGTATTATATACAAAGGTTGAAATGCTTACTTTGTACCACATGAGAGGCTGCCTTTGGGAAACTACAGATCCGTCAGTCCACTCCACGGATGTACTTCCACTGAGTGAGTGAAGGCTTAATTGTTCACCTTTGAGACCAATCTAGTCGATATGGGCACATAAAGAAATGCATAGTTTAGAATAAATGATCAAAGAACAGAGATCGAGAGGCGGAGAATGAATTGATGAAGTACAAACCTTGTATGTCCATTTCTGCCACGACAAGTCCCTACGGCCCTCATTGAGACCATTCAATGTCACGGGCCCAAGGATACCAGCATTCCACGTCTCGAAATGTGGACCAACATTCTAAATTGCCACAAGGAATGAGAAGTATTAAGATACATACTCGAATGTGTATCTCTTTGTGACAACGATATGATAAGAAGAAAAAGACTAACCGGCAGACCGACGGCAATGCTGAGAAGGGCAATTCTGTTGGTGCCAGCTCTCAAGTTCACACCTTGACTGAGCGTCAATTTTGGAAATTCTAGACTTCCATAAGAAGTTCCTGCTTAGCATAATATGAACACGTTGAATACTCTACCGGGAGCAGATAATTTAACGAGAAAATGATCTTTGAACAAAGAATTACATCACACCTGCTAGTCGACCATTGACAAAAACATGCAAAGCATGGCCAGCTGACAAAACATTGAGAACCGGATACTTTCCATTTCGGAGAAAGCTCTCAGCAGGGCTTATGTTAACACTGAGATGATAGAAAAAGGAAATATGGATTAGAAAACCAGACCAGTAAATGCAAAGAAATTATATTCTTAAGAATCATGATAGTTAACTTACTCTGTCATATACCACAGGTAATCTGTAGCATCCCTGGTCGTGTTGATCTGTTCCAGCAATCCAACCATAGTGAAGCTCTTATCACCATCTGCCGAGGGCTCTTCACTATATGCTTGCCAAGAGAGTCCAGCATGTCTAGGAACATCAACCATCTTCATCCTCGACGTTTGGGCACCAACCTGAAAGTATTTGTATATCACCCATTAGACCGATGATTTCACATATAACGATGTTCCAGAATTCCGTAAGAAGAATAAAAATGATGTTTGTGCTCACCCTTGCAGTGTTGTAGACTGTGTTCTTGCAATCAGGAAGTATGCTGATGGACCAAGGTGGCAAGTTGTAATGCATGTTCCCGAAAGACACTTTGGCAAATGATCTCGGGTTGTAGTTCGCGAGGAATGCTGCACAAGCTCCCGACTTAGACTTGTAGACATGAGCCTGCACGTTCAACAGACAAAGGTGTATAGAGTTTGATGGAAACATGGACTGCCTCTATTTTGTAACTTTTAAATGAAATATATGAAGCATGAGAAAAGAACCTCTTCATAATTTCCAAGTTTCATTACGGTTGGCTCACTGGACACTAGAGCTGGTTCACACAACTTAATGGCTCTATGCAAATCTTTCAGATGACCCCACTTTGGTTGCCTCAATAGCCCTGCATAAAAATATTCAGATTCCCATTAATCCTACTACATATTTAAGTAATTACTGCAGAATTTTCCATGTTTCATGATTTAGATTTTAGTAATGACCTTCACAAAATATATTAATCACGTCCTATTACAATGTCACCACAAAAGAATAAGTTTGCTAGTGCTGACTAGGAAAAGGGGCCCACTAAATCCACTTGTAACGAGACTTCGAAAATTATCTTCTTTATTTTCATGGCATACTTCAAAAATTATCAGTTGCCATCACAGGTTGATCTTTTTGAATGAAAAAGACATCCATAATCAAGTATGTAGAAGACTACTAGAATAGGGCCAAAAAAAGCTTTCCGGTAGTATTGCGAATGCAGTCTAACTGCACTGACATCATCAAACACAGTGACCAAATATGAAACAAACACCCTTCATTCTTTACCTAAACGAAATAGATTACCAATTTGAAACCCAAAGCTTTTGTTCATACCATATTCGTCAAGAGGAGCATCATAATCATAGCTTGTCGCGATGAAAGGACCCCCAGCAGTTCTGCCAAAATTTGTCCCTCCGTGGTACTGAAGCATGCAACACGGACAAACATATCAAACTTGATTCAAATCAACCAATAAGCAACTTATCCTCAGAGAATTCCATTTGAGTTACCATATAGTAATTGATGAATGAACCTCCCTTCTGTATGAACCTTGCAACTCCAAATGCCATGTCTTCAGCTGGTCGATGAGGAACCGCACCACCGAATTCAGTGAACCTGCAAGCATTACAAATCAATTGAAAATCAATCACCCTCTTACATTATGTCGGCTCTTTTGCTATGTCCCCCACAGTTCTTCAATAATGCATAAAAGTATGGTGCTTTACCAGCCAGTCCAGGCTTCAGTCCACATCTTCGGCTTGTAATTTTTGTTTGGTGAGAAGTAATCACAATAGAAACCATT